TCACCTAAAACGCTGTACAGAGCCCCATGGTCGACATCATCCATCTTCGTGAGGGGAGATTGACGACGCCGCCAAAGAAGTTACCAAAGACTCCAGAGAAGTCCTCATGATAAAGCCCATCGATACACTAGCCAGTGTCATCAGGCAGGCGCCCCAGCTACTCGGGCAAGTCGGGTTCGCAGGCATCCAGAAGGCAAGAGACAAGAAAATGAGCACCTTCAGAGGAGGGAAGGACAGCCCAGCCGGCAACTATAGAGGACTAATTCGACGAGGCAGGGCACCCAGAGGCCAAGGATAGAGAGACGATGAAGGAGGGGTTCGAACGACTGGAGTCTTCCACCCCCAGCCGTTCCTGTACAACCTTCACAAGTGGGTGGACGTCTACAAAACTACTGGGAGAACTGGGGAATTCTTCAAGATCCATTTGTATCCAGCATCCTAAGAGACGGATATCGCATACAACTACAAGCAACTCCGCCGTTGACAGACGAACCTCAGAAGTTCAACTTCACAACCCATCGGACAGAGAGGCTACGAGAAGCGGTCACATCTCTACTAGAGAAGGAAGCCATAGAAGTGGTGGACCAGGACCAGCTCTCACAAGGATTCTACTCCCCAGTTTTCCTAGTGCCAAAGAAAAACTCCAAAGAAAAGTTCTGACTCATCTACAAAATGAGGGCCTTCAACAGAGATTATCTACGGAGACCACCAAAGTTCAGCATGATACATCTACCACAACTCCTACACCTCGTCCGTCCGTCCGATGGACTACATTGCCAGCATAGATCTACAGGACGCCTACCTGCATATTCCTGTACATCCGGACTCAAGGTAGTACCTGAGGTTTATACTGGATGGACGACACTACCAACGGAAGGTCCTGCCATTTGGAATATCATCGGCCCCCTGGTTGTTTACAAGGGTGACGAAGCCCAAGCCATACCTACATCATCGAGGTCTACACAGTGCATTCTACCTAGACGACGGGATTCAAGTACATCAAGATCCCAAGCATCTCAGACTACAACTGGACTTCACCATCAGACTGCTTACACAACTGGGGTGGCTAGTGAATCTCCTCAAGTCGGACCTAGAACCTACACAGGACCTGCAGTTCCTAGGAATCCGGTTCATCACAACACAGAACCGCATAGTGGTACCAGAGGACCGATGGCTCAAGATACAACAGACGATCTCGCAAGCTCTACTCTCTCCGTGGCCACTACGACAATGGCAGAGTCTGTTGGGTCTCCTCACGTCAGCGCAAGACATGACACGCAGAGGGAGACTACAACTACGCCCACTACAGATCTTCGTCAATGCTCATCTGGACGACCCGGAACCCTTAGGACTCCCGGACGCACTACGCCCATATCTACTATGGTGGACCCAGAGATCGAATGTTTGCAGAGGCACCTATTTAGCAGAGCCGGAGTGCAAGACGCATCTCTACGTGGACGCATCGCACATCTCGACGACGAAGTGTCAGCTGGGACATGGACCAAAGAGGAGAAAGATCTGCACATCAACATGCTAGAAATGAAAGCAGTACTAAACGCCATACTCCACTGGACAAACAATCTGGAGAATGCTCATCTGATGGTGCATACGGACAACTCCACAGTGGCATTCTACATAAACAGGCAAGGATCAACAAGGTCGGCGAACCTTCTGAACCTCTGCTTTCAACTGTTCAGCATAACAGACAACCTGAACATCCACATAAGAGCATGCCACATTCCAGGAGCCAAGAACGTGATAGCAGACGCACTATCCCGTCCAACGCAGCCATCCCCAACAGAATGGATGCTACATCCAGAGATCTTCAAGCAGATCATACAAGAGATGGGAGCACCTCTAATAGACATCTTCGCCACAAGATTCAACAATCAACTGATAACATTCGTCTCACCAATACCAGATCCACGAGCATGGGCAACGGACGCTCTAAGCATCTCCTGGGAAGGACTAAACGCTTACGCCGCGTTTCCACCACCAGCTCTAATACCGAGGGTGTTGCAGAAAATCAGCCAGACGAAGGACCTACAACTGATTTTGGTCGCGCCTTACTGGCCAGCGAGAATATGGTTCCCCATTCTCATACAAGAATTAGGACATCCTCAACTGCAACTACCAGAGTGGACGAATCTACTAGTACATCCTCACACAAAGCAGGCGCACGGCAACCCAGAGGTGTTCCGGCTACACTTGTGGACTGTATCAAGGCGTGCTTGAACAAGAGAGGATATTCTGCCAGGGCAGCGAAAGCAGTCACACTAGCTCTACTCAAGTCTACACGCACCTTGTACGGCCACAAGTGGCGAATTTTTGAGACATACGCTGTGAGGACCGGCTTTACAGCCATAAAGGCGACACACCCTCAAGTGGCGGACTACCTTTGTCACCTACGACAAACGAAGCGGTTAAAAGGGTCAACACTCTCAACATACCTAGCGGCATTGAGCTCAGTCATCACCATGAGGACGAGTGGAAAACTGACGAAAGTACCAGAGTTACTGGCCTTACTACGCTCTTTTAAATTGGAGGACCAACAACAGAGATTCAAAGCTCCGGCGTGGGACCTCAACGTAGTTCTACGACATCTCACCAGTGACGTCTACGAACCATAAGAGAGAACAGCCTTCGAGTTCTTGACGCAGAAGACGCTGTTCCTGATCGCCTTAGCAACAGCAGCAAGGATGTCGGAAATACATGCTCTGGAGAGAACACGATTTGATGAAAATCAAAACACCGTGCATATGGGACTGAGATGGGACTTCATCGCAAAGCATCAACTGCCAGGTCAACCGGACAGACAATTCCACGTCCCAGCACCATCATCAGTCCTTGGACCACAGGATACGCAGGACCTATCCTTGTGCCCAGTAAGAGCATTGAAAGTCTACCTACAAAGATCCAGTACCAGGAGACGGAAATTCAAGCGTCTTTTCGTCCCGATATCGACAGCGACACAGACGGAGGTCTCCCGCACTACGATATCAATCTGGATCAGAACTGTCATACTACGGGCCTACAAAGCAGCAGGACTGGATCCTCCAAGAGCCTCCAACCCACACGAAGTTAGAGCTCTGGCATCAACACTCGCTCTACATGGGAATTGCTCTATCAGGACGATAATGGGGGGCTGCTTCTGGAAATCAGACATGGTGTTTGCCAACCATTACCTGAGGGACATCGCCACCGAGGACGTCTCCGGCATTCACCATTTCGGCCCGCTGGTTGTTGCACAACAGTTGACAGTCTCTCAAAGGCGCTGAGATGATATCTCACCCTTTTATCACATGACTTGCAAAAAGCCTACACTCAGGAGAGTTCAGCTTTAAGTCTATATGCACGTCTAAGGACAGACTAGTTTAAGTGATATGACCCAGTACTTGTAAGGATACTCATACAGGAAAGGGTCGCTTCTCCACTTGATGCTTGCATCAAGAGATGGAGTCGCAAAATCCACATAAAATGTTAACAGAAGCCAGGACCAAAAGTTAACAATTGTGGTCCCCCCGTCAGAGACAGCTGGAAGTACAGGGTTACAGCAGCAGCAGAGACTAGCAGTAAAATAGAAGTGCCAACAAGAAGTTCCCATAGGGGGGTATATAAGACGTAAATCACTACATGAAATCCAGAAGTAGCTTGACCCACCACCAAATCCGACGGATTCTACAAGCAATAAGCATGAGTCAGGATAAGGAAAAATATGTAATTTTCTGAATAAAATTGATATTTTATACTTATCCTGACTCATGACTGAAGCTCCCTTCAATAAAAACAGACGTAAATTCACTACTCACCATGAGTTATCTGTCTGGCCGTTTTGGCGGGAAAAGTGGCGCCACCGCTCCCACATGCTTCACTCTCTCCGAATTATGAGCCCGACACTTTAATTTGCAGGGAAATCCAAAGTGTCTAGTGGGGAGGTTGGGAGGGCTTACCTCATGAGTCAGGATAAGTATAAAATATCAATTTTATTCAGAAAATTACATTTTTAGAATTTTATTCAACTTCCGATAAGCTGTGGTACCATTGTACAAAATTTACTGTTCATACCTCACAAGAAGAAGTTCAAATTGTGACAGCTGCATACAAAGTGAACTCTCTTTATTATCCCCCGCTGCGCGTTTAGCGCAAAGCGAGGGATATAGTATTAGGCTCCGTCCGTCCGTCCGTACGAATTGGAATATCTTAAGAACCACTAGATTCTTTTCATAAGTTGTACCTAGGTTCATCACAGTATAAGAAAGGTCCAAGTCAGGTTTGGTGACCTTGACCTTAATTTCAAGGTCACAAGGAGACTTTAACGTTTTACCTGCATGTTAAGCTATCTCAAGAACCGGTCACTGGATTTTCTTCATATTCAATACAAAGCTTTGTCATGTTTATCTAGAGAAGGCGCAGGGCCCAGTCGATTTTGGTGACCTTCACTTAACTTTCAAGGTCACAGAGACCCTTTGAAGATTTGAGCATGTTAACCTGAATTGTCAGCAAGATGTTTCAAAAACAGGTCACTGGATCTTCTTTAAAGACTTTCAAGACTTCCCTTAAATGTTTTTTCAAAAAGCAATTTCTTTAGTACTGTTTTTGCATATTTCATACACTATGACATTCATGTCAAAGTCAGTCTTGAAAATATGTGTGTGTTTGAACACCTAAAGAGCAAGACATTAAGAGAGGTTGACTGGTCATGTTTTTGTTGACATTTAACTTAAACTTTCATTACTTTATAAGTTTGATTTGATAATTTGCAGTGGGGGATTATGTCACCTTAGTGACAATGCTTGTTCAAATAATTTTTTGCCCCCATAAATGTGAACATTCATTAGGGATTGGCCATTCATTAGAGGGAGGGTGTGTGTCCTGAAAGAATATTACATGCATGGGAAGAGGGATATTTTTAATAATCTTATAAATTCATACACAGATTCAAAAGGGTGAGGGATATCATTGACCTCTATGTTCTTGAATCATAAATTTTGCTATTGCAGTGTACAGGTCAAGTTTCTGCCAGACCTATGCTGAAATGAAAGCCCCAACTGGAGAGTGGAAGTCTGTGCTGTCTGCAGTTCTCCTTGCACTGTCTGCGACTGCATGGATAGTCATGTGGATGAAAAAATATGGTAAGCATTAAGTACATAAGGTTGAACTTTATTCAGTGTTTATTGTTTCTAGTGAAGGGGTTTTTTTTACAAAACATGTAGATTTAATCCTATATGACAGTTTCATGAGTAAACATTTTAAGCAATGTAATTTTCTCAATAGAAAATATATCTGCAGAATACCTCTATATTCTTGTCAAATAATATGCTTATCTCAGTATGTGACATGACAAAGTGGATATTTTCATGACGGTCAGGATACCTTCTTGTATGCATATATATGTATGGAAGGTTAATAAATAAAATATAATGTTAAAATTAATTTGTTTAATGTAATTAGTCACTTTGGGTACTATCAGCAAATGTAGAGAACACTTGGGTAAAAGGTATCAGTGTACATGTACACCTGTTTTACATCCACGCTTACATGGCTCATAATTCCAAAGTTTATCTTCAAAATCGGGTAAATAACAATATTTGAAATCATTTTAATGAAAATGACTCTGAGCAAAACCTTAGTATTGAAAACAACTAAGAATACAAATTAAAACTCCCTGTGAACATAGTGAAGTAGTTTGTCTCACAGTCTCTAAACCACATTATTTTCCCAATTGCCTTTCCCTCCCTGCAATGCTAAAGCCCTATATGAAGCAAGTCTAGATTTCCCCAAGGTTCAACTCACTGGGGCTCCTTTTCAATTTAAATGAGTTTATTTGGTACTATCAAAATTATATATATATTCAGGGACTAAGCGTTGGTCTCATAGTGAAATTGCATACCTGATTCTGAAGGTGGTCACATTTGTGTTTTGGTGCAATACATAACTTAAACATATGAATAATGTATTATCAGTGAATGAATGACTGATATATCATTACTTAATCACACATCTTCACAATATCTTTGTGATACAAATTTCACTGTTGAGCATCACAAGGTCAATCACATCGAAAATACAAATTAGCGAAATTCATTCCGTTATTGTAAACTAGCGAAATTCATTATGGATTGCAAGGAACAGTGTTCATCGTATATATCCATGTTTTTTTCAAATGCTCAAAAACATTCAGGGTTTTCTTGAATAATCAGATGAACACCGGAACATTGTAATAATTTATAAAAGACAACTTTATCATAAAGACATGCCATCAGCCGAGTACTTATGATGTTTGTTGTGATGCAACACACCGCGTTACACACGCTAACGAAAATGTATGATGTCAGAAAACACATAAAATAAGACGATCTTCCTTGATTTCATCTTGTTTGATTATATTTAATCCTATTTTCATTCATTAAACCTGTTAACAGTAACCTATGAGTAAACATGTGAAATGGCATCAGCTCATTCTATACACATACAACTTCTGCTTACCTTATGGACCCTCACGAATGTGGTAAGCGGAAGTTGTATGGAATGAAGTAATACCATTTCACTATTTAGCCGGTTTCTCCAGTGTTACTGTAAACACTTTAATGAATGAAAAAGGGATTGAATTTAATCAAACAAAATGTGTTTCCTGACATAATCAAACGTTTCCTGACATACGTTCTGGGATGGCAGTGTTTACCCGCGCAATAACGCAGTGTGTTGCATCACAGCAAACATTGTAAGTACTCGGCTGATGGCATGTCTTTATGATAAAGTTGTCTTTCATAAGTTATTACGATGTTTCGCTGTTCGTCTTATTATTGAGAAAACCCTGCCCGTTTTAAGCATCTGAACAACTATGGATAAGTACGATAAACACTGTTAATTGCAATCCGCAATGAATTTCACTTTGATGACGTGAAAATGTGTGATCGCTGGGCAACTTTTTTTTATGGGAGCCACAGATTACCCCGCGGTTTAACCGAATCTGTGGTATCCCGAAGAGCGTTATTGCGAGGGATGACTGTACTCTTTTCCGGAGCAGAACTCTAAAACCGTTCAATGTTTCTTCACCAAACTTGGCACATGGATAGATTTGGTGGTGAAATTTTCCCTTTTGGTATTTTTGGATTTCTGAATAAAATAGTTTTTGCGTTTCCATGGTAACAAATTTCACTTTGACTGAAATTGGTGGTAGTACTTTTTTTCCGGAGCAGAGCTTAAAAACTGTTCACTGTTTCATCATGAAATTTCATACATAGTTAGGTCTAGTGGTGAACTGGTGCCTTTTGCTAGTTTTGGATTTCTGAATAAAATGTTGTTTTTTTGCGTTTCCATGGCAATAATTTTGGCTTCAACTGAATTTGGTGGTAGTGCTCCTTTCTGGAGAAGAACTTTGAAACCTTTCAGTACTCTCCTTCCACTCAGCTATATACACGCCAAAACATTTGACATAATGATAACTCATAGACATAGTCATGAAGAGTATTTTGCCATTGTGGGGGATATTGATGACTTTGTCATTTCGGGACCTGTTCCAGCCCCATCATCAGGTAAAACTAATTAACAGTAACTGTTAACTGTGCTCATGGGCTGCTCATTAGTTTTACATGAAGACCCTGGATATCTGGCCCCGAAACATATCATAGAATAAAAACATGAAATCCAGAAAAGAGCATCTTCTAAAATGCCAATCAAGCATATATTTTGAATGATTGACATAAGGTTGTTTCATCAAACCTGTGCAACATGGTAAATTGGTTAGCCTTAGCTAAGGTGGTTTTGTGGAATGGGGACCAGTGTCCCTTAAATTGGCAGAATTCTTATATGAGGCAGTAAACCGTTGTAACAGGCCAAACCTTCCCCAGGGAAACTTTGACCTAGGACAAACTTTCCACAGGGAAACTTTTTTTTCTCTCTCTCTCTCTCTCACAATTTCTTCCCCAACCTATAATCTCATCTTGAAAAAGTCAGAAACGAAAACAAGACATAGCTATTCATGTGAACACAGTGATAAGATATTCATGTTGATGTCAAGTTCCATTAACAATTTACAGGTCATCTTCATATATATAACATGTGCATGGTTCACATTTTGTTTCAATATCATTAGATAAGGTGAGATTAAAAAAACAACCTAGCATAAAAGCCAAGATATTATATCAGTACTATTGTTTTATATTATTAACTTATTATCCCCCGCAACGCGTTTTGGGGGGGATTAAAATGGAGTCGTCCGTCGTCGTCCGTCCGTCCAGTCCGTCCACATTTGCACATTTGTCTTTTCCGGAGCAGAACTCTAAAACCGTTCAATATTTCTTCACCAAACTTGGTACATACATGGATCTGGTGGTGTACTGGTGCCTTTTGGTAGTTTTGGAATTCTGAATAAAATATTTTTGATGTTTCCATGGCAACAAGTTTGACTTAGCCTGAAATTGTGGTAGTGCTCTTTTCCGGAGCAGAACTCTAAAACTGTTCAATATTTCTTCACCAAACTTGGTACATGGATAGATCTGGTGGTGTACTGGTGCCTTTTGGTAGTTTTGGAATTCTGAATAAAATATTTTTGGCGTTTCCATGGCAACAAGTTTGACTTAGACTGAAATTGGTGGTAGTGCTCTTTTCCGGAGCAGAACTCTAAAACCGTTCAATATTTCTTCACCAAACTTGGCACATAGATTGATCTGGTGGTGTACTGGTGCCTTTGGTAGTTTTGGAATTCTGAATAAAATATTTTGGCGTTTCCATGGCAACAAGTTTGACTTAGCTTGAAATTGTAGTAGTGCTCTTTTCCGGAGCAGAACTCTAAAACGGTTCAATGTTTCTTCACCAAACTTGGCACATAGATTGGTCTGGTGGTGTACTGGTGCCTTTTGGTAGTTTGGGAATTCTGAATAAAATATTTTTGGCATTTCCATGGCAGCAAGTTTGACTGAGATTGGTGATAGTGCTGCTTTCTGGAGCAGAACTTTAAAAACCTTTCAATACTCTCCTTCCACTTTTCTATATACACACCTAAATATTTCTATATACACACCTAAATATTTAACATAATCATAACTCGTAGACATAATCATGAAGAGTATTTTGCCATTGAGGGGGATATTGATGACTTTGTCTTCTTGTTTTTATATTTCAATAATTTAATTATCTTCACTTATTCCAAATTGGTTTATCTCAAAATCATTGCTATTTTCGTAACTTTAACTAAATACCCAGTTTTTACTTGGATGTCCATATCCTTTCAAAATTTTATTTCCTCAGTCATGGCTTCAAAAATATGGGATCCACATCGGTGCCATCAACTACTACAACCAAACACAATATCAAATGCTGTATCATCTATCATTCCACTATATTGTCTTACCGGTATTCTATATTCAAAAGACAAGGTTTCATAAGAGGTATACTTGGCCCATGGATATCTGAATCATATTTTCATTCACCAAAAGTGATTATGGATTAGTAAACAAGCTTTTGGAGAGACTTTAGCCTAGCCCAAACTTTCCCCGGGGTAAGAATAACCTAGGACAAAACCTCCCTGGGGAGAATCTGGCCTAGGCCAAAAGTTTAGACCAGGGAAGAAATGGTCTGCTGCACCATGAAAGTATTACCAGCTTTCTCCCATTGGTTCAGGACTCGCTTGTATTAGACAGAATGACTGGTTGAATGTGGTATTAAGCCCAACTTGTTGATACTGTATTGATAGTTCAGTATAGACTCTGTAAATGACAATTCTGCTTTAGTATAGACAGATTGCATTTATGATGTTAGTTGAAAATCATTAGCGACAAAAAAATGTTAAGAAATTATATCTATTTATCCTTTTTATTGCAAATTTAATCTACAAAATATCCTTTCAGTTTACCCTCCAATGCCCTCAACTATAACCAGGGAGTGGCAAGAAGCACAAGTTGAAAGAATGCTTGCCCAGGGCCAGGGACGGATTGAAGGCATCTCGTCAAGCTATGATTATGAGAAAGGAGAGTTTAAATAACTCATAACTAATAATGGCTTGATTGTATAAAATATTCCATATTGTTTGTTATCTGCCATTCAGTAATTTTGCTTCAGTGAATAATGTCAGGATTATTGTACACAGTGATCAAAACATTTGTTGAATGTATTACATAACACACATAGCAATAAAAGTTGTGGCTTTGAGACTTTCATTTTCAATTTGTAGCTCACCTGACTGAAAGTAAAGTGAGCTCTTCACCAGTAAACTTGTTTTGCAGTCATTGAAGAAACATTGACATTTTCTTTACAAATTGTGATGAATATTGTCTATGTATAGTTTGTATCAAATCTGTGAAAGTGCACTCTGGGCATGGTAAACATATACTCCTCAGAAACAGCTTGTTTGTTTTTCTTGTGGTGATGATTCGACAGCATTTGAAGTTTTGCTGAACTAGGCATACGTGTCATTTTCCAACAACACCTCACCATAAATTTTATTATGATTTCAGTTTCTTGAAAACCTTTTAGATACATTGTCACTCTGTACTCACAAACCTACTACAAAACTACAAATAAATTTCAATTTAGGCGTAAACATTCCCTCTAGATTATGGTTGCCTTATTTCTGGGGTTACCACAGACACATACAGAAAAAATGGAAAAGAAAAACGATCCCTAAGTCATAGTTCCCTGGTAGTATGCCCTACCCCTTAAAGAGTTATCTCCCCCTTAAATCGTGGCGTAAGAGCGCGCCCTTTTAAACCTCACCATTTTTCTGTATGTGCTACGCACAGGACGTCTCCGGAAATTTGGAAAAGATTCTACTGTAATTCGTTCATCATCAACAATAGTCAAGTTTTCTAGATCAAATCTACAGATTGGTCAGTACTATCGCCTTGTTGGTGCTACAATTGCTTTAATTAACTTTGTGACATTATTTCATTAATGATCCTCATTCATTGTGTGCAGCTTGCCACAAGGAGCCTCCCTGTACTTTAGACATTAAATGTTTGTTGTGCTCAAGTCTCAGTAATGACGATTGGATCAAAATGAACGCTGCTAGAAATTCTGTTAAGAAGAGGAAATCTTCTGTGTCTTCTGATTCAATTAAACGTGCTAAATCCTCCTCAGACTGTCAGTCTAGTAAATCGGACAATACTAGCAAAAGTAGTTCACGTTCCTCAAAATCTAAATCTTCTGCATCGTTGGATTTGGCCGCCATTACTAACTTGTTTGGTTCGCTTAGAGACGAACTTTCCGCTTCAATGAACAAATCCTTTAATGAGCTGGAGTCACGTAATCATCTCAAGTTTTCTAGTCTGCAGAAGCAAATTGAGTCCCGATCCACCTTATGTTGATTAGACCCGGAAGACGCCGGCCAGGGCCATAGTCTAGGGTCAGTACCCATAGGCGGGTCAGGAGCTCTGTCCCAGAGAGTGGGTCATCTCCTGCCGTCTGAAGCTGAATGCCGATCCCCCAGGGTGAGGCAGCAGCATTCGAGAGGGGAAGGGACAACCGACGGGGTCGGCAGACAGCAGGATAAATCCATGGCAGGGGCCGATGGTAGCCTGCTTGTCTCAGGGTTTCAGTCTATGACGGCTGATTCCCTTAATACTTGTGCCAGTCAGCTGATTATAAATAAAAGCACGGATGCAAGCTTGCAGCACGGGCCGAGCAGGCGTGCTATGGATCGTATAGCTGTCACTGGGTCAGACCGGGGTCAAGTAAAGGGCAGTACAGCTGGCTTGGATAGCTCGTGCAGCTCGGCTGAAATTCAGCGGTCGTCTACCTTAGGCATGGGCGCACGTCTGATCATGCGGTTGGAGAGGTTGGGTCACTGGATATTGACAACCCTCCCATTATTCCGTTAGTCCTGGATTTTTCGGATCAGCTCGGATCTAGTGTTTACCCCATTTCACAACCAGCCATGGTTATGCGAGAGGGCTTAGTGACAGTCCCTTCCATGGATACGGAGGCTGAGGATTACGTACCAGGATGGTCCCTTAGAGACAAGATTGAAATTATTCATGAACTTTATCCGTCTACGGTACCTCCTCCATCGGATCAACCAGCGATGGAAATTCCCGTGGAATTAGGGACATCGGGATGTCTCCCACCTGAACGTGTTCCTAGACTTTCTCTGCCACACTCAGCTTTACAAAATTATAATTCACAACTTGCCAAGGTCAAGAATGTATTGAATTTGCCTAAGGTTTCTCACAAACTGGGATACAGTATTCATGACAGGTTATTCCCCTCTGCCCCACCTGAATTGGATGATGATTTTTCTCAACTGGATCCTAGAGCATCCAAGGATCAGGTCACTCACTTATATAACAAGGATGTGCGTGATATAGATATGGCAGCTAGAGCTTCTGTGGACATATTATCCTATGTGAATTGGTTTGCAGCGGGTGTTAGGGCTCTGCTTCCTCCTGTTTTCCAAGATTATTCGGGAATAAAGAAGGATACCTTAGTGGCGATGTCTGCTCATGAAGTTGCCTTAGCACACTCCTTCCTTGATGTAGTGTACCAGGGGTCAGTGATGCCACGCATGCCCAAGTTAATACTTTAGGACGTTTGACTGCCGTCGATCGTTCTCAGCGTTTACATTCTGTGAGGAATCTCCCGGATTCATTGAAGGATCAACTATTTCAGCAACCCATTAACTCTCCTTCAATCTAATCTTTAATGGACAGTGTCATCAGGCCATTACCACTAAGTATGCAGTGACTTCGCGTAATCTTAATCAGCAATTAGCCTCTGCGCTAATTGCTCAAAATAGATCCAGAAGTGTTCCTAGAAGTAGGAGAGGTACTCCATCATCTACCATGTCTCGTTCATCCTCCGTGGGTCGTCGGGATTCCTTGCAAAGATCTGCCTTTGATCGTATGTCGGATTCCAGAACACGTTCTAATCCTGGGTTTTCACGGGAGCAGGGGCAGAGTTTCAGAGGGAGAAATAGGGGTAGAGGTTCCTTTCGTTCCTCAAGAGCGGGCGGAAGAAGCTGACGCATACGTTCCAAGAACAATTTCCTCTCAGCCTTACGAACTGGTATTGTCCACGGACTTCAGAGCTAGATCACATGTTTATGATTCCAGTTACTCCGTCCCCTGTGTGGGGCTGGATCTCCTTGAACATAGACAATTGGAGACAGATCACAGGGACCCTTGGATCCTGTCAATTGTAAAAAGGGGTTTTATTTTACCATGGGACAGGCTACCTCCAGTAACGATCCAGCCCACGGGACGGAGATTTTTTCTACAGGAACCACGCCTGTCTGCGGCTACTCAGGCAATAGATCAATTATTGGAGAAACGGGCGGTATTAGAGCTCCCCAGTCACGATACCTCCCGGGGTTTTTATTCTCCAGTGTTTCTTGTCCCCAAAAAAGACACACAAGAGATGCGAATGATTATAGACCTGAAGATTCTAAACAAAGAATTCCTCCAAAAACCACCAACATTCAAGATGGAATCGCTCAGCAACCTTCGTACTCTCATCCGTCCTCACTCAAAATTCATAAGTATAGATCTGAAGGATGCATATCTACACATCCCGATTCATCCACGCTGCCAAAAATATCTCAGATTTGCAGTCAACGGCCGAAGATTTCAATTTCTAGTCCTTCCGTTTGGAATATCCCTAGCACCTTGGCTCTTCACGGTAATGTTGAATCCTATACTAAACTTTCTCCATCGCTGGAACATCGCCATTCATGGATATCTGGACGATTTTTTGGCAAGGAATATTATCACTCAGACTTTAATCAAGCAGACCAAGTTCATCATCCATGTGTTCACTCATTTGGGTCTAATTGTACATCCCGACAAATCAGAGTTAATTCCAACTTCAAGAATCAAGTTTTTGGGGGCGATCCTGGATTCTCGAGTGTCTCACATTTATCCTCTGCCGGATCGCTGGTTAATCCTAAAAGACAGGATTCTACATCTCATAAGTGCACGCCCAACATCACTACGCTCTTGGATGTCTCTCCTAGGATCACTAACGTCAATTCAAGATTTTACTCAACGGGGCAGGATCCATTTACGGGAGTGTCAGGTGTGGATCAACCAGAACAGACATTTAGACCTAGACACGCTTCTTCCTTTTCCACAGAAACTAAAAGGTGGACCAACGAGGCCAACATCCTGTCGGGAGCACCCTTTCGACCTCCGCCTCCAGACCTGACGATGTACACAGATGCTTCCACCTCGGGCTGGGGTGCACATATGGGTCATCTGCAACTTCAAGGAATCTGGTCAGACCAGGAGAAGAGTCTGCATATCAATGTTCTCGAGATGTTAGCCATAGTCAGAGCACTCGAACATTGGTCTTGGTGTCTCCACAGAAAAGCAATTATGGTGGCCACAGACAACTCAACCGTAGTCTGCTATGTGAACAAGCAGGGAGGGACAAGATCTCACCAGCTACTTCGTGCAACTCAGAAGCTGTTTACAATTGTGGACTTGACCAAATGTTCAATCAGGGCACGTCACATTCCGGGCAAGTTCAATATTCTAGCGGACTCTCTATCCAGGCAAGACGGGATAATTACAACCGAATGGACTTTACACGACAGGGCTTTCAACATGATCTCTCAACGTTGGGAGACTCCGATGATAGACCTATTCGCCATGCGTCGCAACAACAAACTTCCAGTCTACGTAAGTCCAGTTCCAGATCCTCTAGCCTGGGCGGTGGATGCTCTTTCAATCTCGTGGGACAGAATGATAGCTTATGCCTTTCCTCCCTTCAGGCTGATTCCGGAAGTGCTCAGCAAGATCTATCAGCACAATTGTGTAATATATCTAGTGGCTCCTGCCTGGGCCACGGGACGTGGTTCCCGACCCTACTGGATCTCCTCATCGACACACCGATGTTACTTCCAAATTGGCACAATCTCATCAGTCAACCGGAATCGAACTGATATCACAAGAACATTCAGCAACTTCAACTGCATGTTTGGAAGTTATCCGCAAGTCACTTCAACAGCAGGGTTTTACAACAGAAACCACTGTGGCTATCTCTCAATCAATCAGATCTTCCACAGCGTCACTGTACAATACCAAATGGGCTCGATTCATCAAGTGGAGAAGACTGCATCAGCTCTTAGATTCTCCCATTACTATTCCGCAAATTGCTGAATTCTTACTCTATCTTAGGAAGGAAAGGAAGCTTAGACATGGCCCAATCGAAGGATACAAGTCCGCAATCGCGTCGGTGTGTGATATTCAGGGATTAGGTGTGGGATCTAATAATTCTCTGCATAGACTTATCAGATCTTTTCAAATTAAAGATGTGTCTACTCCTGCCATGTTTCCAAAATGGGACCTCTGTTTAGTGCTTAAATCATTACAAAGGACTCCATATGAACCACTTCAGAATGCTTCGCTAAAATTCCTCTCCTTCAAAACAGCGTTTCTTTTGGCCTTTGCTACAGCTTCGAGAGTGTCTGAACTACATGCTCTAGATTTCCATTCAATCATGTTTGCGGATGGATATAAGGAAATCACCTGCAGAGCTCTTCCTGAATTTATTGCCAAAAACCAGTCTTCAGCTTCGGGACCTTTAGGTCAGAGAGTATACAAGATCCCGGCTCTTCCAGATACATCGTCTCGATCAGACAGATCTAGACTTCTTTGTCCAATTCGCGCACTACGATGGTATATTCAACATACGCACAGTATTAGACGGAATTGTCGCAGGCTATTTTTATCTTGCAAAACTAATATGAACAGTGAAATCTCTAAGTACACTTTGGCATCCTGGCTTAGAAAGACGATTGCTTATGCATACCAGGATTGTGATCAGGACTTAATTAACTTAAAGTTCTCACCACACGAGATCAGAGCGTTAGCGAGCTCCTTAGCTGCTTGGAGATCGGTTTCAGTGGAACAGGTTGTGTCAGCTTGCCAGTGGAAGTCAGCTAATACTTTCATCAACGCCTACCTCAGAGATGTGTGTGTGTGTGTGTGTGTGTGTCAAGAAGTTCCGTATGCTGGATACTGTCTGGCCTGTGAAGGATGGGGATCTGCCGCTACTCAAGATACTTTGTGGGGTGAGAGCCTTAATTATATCATGGTCTCTCTAACTTAGTTTTGAGTCACGTGTTATTCAGTGGATTGGTATACCACTATCTTTATTGTTTTCCACCGATCACGTAACCTAAGGGAGAATAGGACGTTAGGCACTGGAAGTGACGTCAGTGACTGGAAGTGACGTCATAAAACCCGAAGTAAAGTCATTAGACCAGAAGTGATGTCATTAATCCGGAAGTGACGTCATAGACTCCCGTTAGATTTTGGTTTATTGCTATCCTTCACAGTTGGATCCTTTTCTTGGTGTCGGGTTAGCCAACTAACTTTAGAAGAATGATCCCTAAGCCAGTATTTATATATATAACAATCATAAAACGTTTATTCGTATAGCGCTGTCATAGTTCCCAATTTCTATCTATATATATACATAAGGACTATTCAGGAAATATGCCCTAAGTTATCTATTAGTCTTCTGCTCATTCCCTCCTTTCCTTATGTGGGATTCAGGCAACCATAATCCAGAGGGAATGTTTACGCCTAAATTAGGAACAATTACAAGTATTGTTAATAATTGTTAGTAAACTTACCTCTGGATTATGGGGTTTAGTTCCCTCCCTTTTTTTCCTCCCCGCTAATCATGGCAGAAGAGTCTGTCATTCATAAAAATTGTGAGGTTTAAAAGGGCGCGCTCTTACGTCACGATTTAAGGGGGAGATAACTCTTTAAGGGGTAGGGCATACTACCAGGGAACTATGACTTAGGGATCGTTTTTCTTTTCCATTTTTTCTGTATGTGTCTGTGGTAACCCCAGAAATAAGGCAACCATAATCCAGAGGTAAGTTTACTAACAATTACTAACAATACTTGTAATTGTTCCTATTTTGTCACTAGCATATAGAAGAAAGGGATGTTTTCCTGCCTGCATTTGTACAGAAGCACTGTGTCATCGAGAGAGACAGGTGTGGCTCACTTGTTTCAAACTGACAGTAAAGTGAACTTCTGTGGAAAATGCAAAGTTTTTCTGGTGTTGTGACAGCTAAAATACAGGAGTTCTGGCAGTGAGGTTGGGTATTCATATCATGTCGGCTCAAAGTGATGCATGTTTCAGATGTTTACCTCTTTGAAGAAACCAACATGCACTAATTCATAAACTACATATGACAACCTGATGAGACTAGTTTATCACAAAGTACTGGTAAATATACAAGCACTACCAGGTACACACTTGAAAACGACTTTAGATATCAGAGGTGTCTGCCACCACGCTCTGGGTAAGGCCTTCTTAGCATGTTGTGCCACAGGTTCTTCATATCAGTCTGGGGTGGTGGGGTAGCCTAGTGGTTAAAGCGTTGGCTCGTCACGCCGAAGACCCAGGTTCGATTCCCCACATGGGCACAATGTGTTAAGCCCATTTCTAGTGTCCCCCGCCGTGATATTGCTGGAATATTGCTAAAAGCGGCGTAAAACTAAACTCAGTCAGTCTGTCTGTCCTGGTTATCTGAAACACCTGTAGCGATGTTGCAACTTTTTTCCAGTTTCAAATAACTTGACACTCCATACCAACCAGCTACACTATATAAATATTTATTGAATTCCAGCAGCCCCTGTTTAAGACTCAAATTGTCCCATTAAAGTAAGGCCAGAAATGCTTGGAAATTATTATTTTTTTTTCAATATCAATATGATGAATTTGACACAAGATAAAAGCACATATATGATACATGTATGACTCTAACTAGCTGGGTATTACAGCTCAGATGAAAAAAATGCACTTGAGGGGTGACTTCACAGGAGGAAATTTTGACGTTTTAACAACATTTGTAAATATTCTAAGTACAAACTGTAGTTTTGAAATACAGACTATAATTATTCATATAGCCTCAACTAATTAAATTACATAAATGATTGTAAAAAGTTTTGTTTTTTTGAACATCTATACTAGTATGTGAAAAAGATGGAACTGTTGTAGTAGTTAAATTCAAAATAATTACGTAAAAAAGTCTTAATTCAAATCGCATAGATAATCTTGGCCACCCATAGACGTTTCACTTCATGTATGAGCATTGAACTGGCAACATGCGACTTGATATCTCTGCAGAACAATTTAATTCAAATTTATAATAGTGTTTCATACTGGAGAAACCTCTCGTCAGCTATGACAGGGTTTACTATAGAATGTGTAAAGCCCTTAATCTGACATATAGTCAGGTTTACAAAGTTGTAAACAAATCAGTTACCTCGGGGGTCGTGTCAAAATCAAAACCAGGTAGGAAACAAAAACTTGATAGCTTTGATTAGGGTGTCATACGCCGTGCAGTTTATAAACTGTATGAACGCAAAATCCCACCGATGTGTGCTAAAATACAAGATGAGATTAAAGATACAATAAATGTCCTGGTGTAATTCCGCTAGAGTCCACCACCAGCAGTGATACTGACACTTGATATTTTGAGACGGTCCCTGACATGTACTGCCGGTGCATTACATAACGCTGTCACCATGTCTGCCTGCCTGGTGGGTCACAGTATAGTTTGTTCTTAGAAGTGTTTCTACCATGGATTTTTTTCTAAGTTTTTCGATATTTTACGAGTAATATATATCATTATGATTAGGGAATGGTACATCGTGATTATTCATATGCCATATTAGGTCGAGGTGGTATGAATGATTATATATGAGTTTTGAATCTGAAATATCAACCATTGTCAAATAATTGCCAAAAAGCAGTTTCCAATCATTTCTGGCCTTACTTTACCACTCAAATAGCCTTGTTCTTGTCATAACAAGAACCTCATGTTTTACCATCACAGCTTTTATTGTAAGAGATAACAATCAAGACGGCTGGCTGGCTGGCACACGAAACATTTATTTTTTATGACTATACAGGGTATGAGACTGATGTGCACAGACACTGGTTCACAATACTTGTCCCTGATTGGTTCATCATGTCACGTGTGTGATCCATGGGTGTAGCTACATTTAAAGGGACCATCTGTCTCATATTTACATCTCACATTACCAACCAACAATGAATTAGCATATTTTACCCTGTTGGTGAATATAATTATGTTCATAGTCGTCAACTGTAACAAACATAAATTATTTACCACAACCACACAATACTGTGTATATGGGTGTGTCCATGTCAAGAAAAGAGAGGGAAAGAGATAGTCTAATTTAATTTTACAAAAACAAACCAGACCAGAACAAACCACACTGGAATTTAGCATTCAAAACATCACTTTTCTTCTGAATCTGAAGCAAGGTCATGGTCTTCAAATTCCTGGACTACTCCCTACCCTGCTGGAGATCTGCCGACAGGAGTTTGTTTCTCCAACCTTGTTCATGTGGGTATAGGACAAACATCACATTAACCTTCACTGCCTTTACTCAGCAACTACCAATTACCCTGTTGTAAATATAGATATATGGTGATGACAAACTTGGACACATAATCAGGGCTATTTGATACTGGAATCCACTGGGCAACCAAAGCCCCCTGTTTACAGCATTATATCTAATACAAACACATTGAAAACTCATAGAAAAATTGCTCTTCATAAGTTGTTTCTTTATTGACAGTTAACAGCATAACAAAAACACATGACTTTTGGATTTTTTACATTTATGGCTTAATATGTTTTGTCAGACAACAGTACATAACATCCTCATGTTCATGTTCTTGTCATGTCGATGCAGAGTATATGGTAAAGCACACTAGCACAATGACTGTACAGCAGTTTCTTAGAAGTGATGTATCCCCCCTATTGTCAGTTACAACAAAGTTGAGAGAACATGATGAATCAAGTTACTTGTAACTACCATAAAACAAACAAATTCCATTCAATCAGTGCAAAGCACAAGTCTTAGCAGCAGAAATATGATAATATGGCTTCATGGTAAAATCAGACTGAAACACCTTTAATCTACTGCAGAACATATCCCATACTAGTATCAGCTCTTTTGGCTTAGATAAAATAATATCTGAATAATGTTTAAAACACACAATCCTCAATAGTTTTTTTAAATGCCAGGGACAAATGTGAGCCCTGTTATGTTGATGGGCATATCCCCCCCAATTAGCTCGCAACCACAGTGTAAAGTATGTTCAACTATACACTTATAGAGATGTTAAGTACACATGAATGTCCTACAGATGCCACTTACAGTACCAAGCCTTCATACGGCTGTTCTGTGTCTTTTCTCTCTGCTCGTAGCTGCAGATGCTCCAGAGTGTTGTTAAAGTGCTTATTGATTTGCTCGGTCTCCTCATTGGCCTCCAGGTTTGGAAGATATTCCCGTATTTTGGAAATGATCTGATTCAACACTTGAACAGATATCTGGATAAAAAGGAATGAGTAAGATGTTGCAATTACATAATAAGTTTGGAGCGACTGGATAAAACAATGAAACTGTCAGGTGCCTTGTTCAGGGCAGAAACCGCAACCTGCTTCTATTGTATTTAAGATTTTTCTTTGTTAATCAACTTTACAATTACCTTAAAAATTGTCCTACTCCACTTGCACAAACAAGTCTTCAAGGGTGAAGATGTGACGCATGTCAATTATTGTCTGTATGTGTACATACCAATAGTGGAACCACTTATGGCGCTAAATACATATCTCCCTCCATCGTACCATGCATGGTTTTAAAAAGAGTCAGAATTATTTCAAGGAATGATTACTGATATTGATCACTTTGTCTGCATTGAAAGTGTCAGTGAGTTGATACTGCAACTGGAAAAATACCTGGCCATCTTATTTGAAAATGTTGAAATATGGATAAACATATTCATGAATCAGGCTCCATATTTAGTGACATATAATTAATATATGTCAAGTAATATTTCCATACCAACACGTAAATGTATGATATGCTTTTGGATGTCAGTAGGTCTCTCAGTTGTCAATTTCCCATGCAATAATCACACACATGGTCATTGACCAATTAGATTGATTGAGTGAGTTGAGGTTTACGCCCCACTCAGCAATATTCCAGCTATATGGCGGCGGTCTGACCAATGAGAGCCATTTTCAGGCCTACCATACAAACGGTAAACAAATCATCAAAACTGAACTCATATACACCAAAACAAAACAAAAATCACCAAAATAGGAAATTAAACTTCCAAAACTGCAACAATATCCTCTAAAACCGAAACAATACATCTGTAATGGAAGACTAATCGTTTGAAATGGAAACAAAACTCGCGGGAACTGTCGCCGAACGTACAAAACGGCATTCATAGCATCCAAACACGGCAGTCATAGCATCCCGAAACGGCATACAAATTGTCAAAGATGGCGGCGAGGGGAGACAAATAGGCTTTGGTACATAATTTCGTCACTGTGAGTCTAATCTTGAAAATTTGATATTCGGATGTAGTGCATAAACCCCTTATTGTAGTAAGCTTCAAACCTATGTCCATACTTCTCAGTGTCAGGCTTGCAATTCTGCACAATGTGGTCCCTTGTTCGACCGAATAGGATTTCTTGTCAAAATGCCATGCTACTGTTTCTCTTCAGTTTTGTAAATAAATAATCATAGCATCACATTCAACATTACTATATTTTAGTGATTTAAAAAGTTTACACAAACTTTGTTCATTCTCCATATACAAACATACAAACTAAAAAGAATACGTCTGAGGACAAAGATCACGAGAGGACTGACACGTCTCTCTCAGGAATCTGTGAATGCAAGTTTGAGAAATTAAAAAAAAAGGCAAGTCAAAGTAAAAATGATCACTTAGGTATGCAATTCACAGAGAATGAACAAAGTTTGTGTAAACTTTTTAAATCACGAAAATATAGAAATGTTGAATGTGATGCTATGAATACTTTATTTACATAACAGAAGAGAAACAGTAGCATGGCAGTTCAATCAAACGTTACGTTTTTCGCAACAATTAGTCTTCCATTACAGATGTATTGTTTCTGTTTCAGAGGATATTGTTGCAGTTTGGAAAGTTTAATTTCCTATTTTGGTGATTTTGTTCTGTTTTGGTGTATATGAATTCAGTTTTGATGATTTGTTTACCGTTTGTATGGTAGGCTTGCATTTTCTGTTTCCAAGTCATTCAGAGATTTATGGAGTGAGTGAAAAATGTTTTATGCTGCATCAGAGATTTATGGAAACTGTTGATGTTTACCGAAGAGAGGCCAGATGTTTGTTCAAAGCAGAGGGTAATGCTAATGCGAGAGTCAGTGGTCAAAAATATGAAATGCAGTTAGACAAATTGAATACAATGAGCAGAAAGAAAAAAGAATGACCTACAAGCTCAATACCTTTTTTGGGGGGGGCGAAAAACGTAACGTTTGATTGAACTGCACATTAAAATAGTCGGGCTGTCCGGTTTTCGATCAGGTTTTTAGCATCGAGAGGTTCACCCCTTGTTTTATTTTATGTAATGAGTGTCGCAGTTCATATTTGAAATCTATGTTCTTCAGAATATATAAAAACAATGTATGATTGCAAAAGTCTAGATTTTTGTTTTTAAAATCATTGTCCAAACAGTTATTCGAACCCTTGTGGGTAAAAATGATACTTACTTGATCACAACCTTTCTCAAAGAAGTAGATGTAGTGATTGAGCAGCTCAACAAACAACTGAACTTGTACTGAGCTGTCCATGCACTGATTTGCAATCTTTACCCCTTTCTTTAGACAGTCTGACACTCTTTTCCCATCCTGCATCTGCAAATGAACCATGATAATTTTGTCCATCAAAAGTACTGCAATATACCCGGTTATATACTTCATTGAGCCTAGTTTAGGCTTACTACACAGTATCTACTTGCATGCAACTTCTTGTGTATTGCACAAAGTGACATTTCGGTAAAGATTCTTACACCATTTTCAAACTACTCAAATAAATACTTCCAGTTTGATGATATCACTAATGCTGTTGGATAACATGTCCAGTGCAGTGCAACTATGAAAGTGAAAACCAGTAATAGACCTGTAGCTGTCCAATCTAAATCAGATCTAATAGCTCATTACTGCTACACTAAGATCTGAGCACAGGGAAGTAAGATACTTTACGGATGACTTCTTTATCTAGCATGATGAGCCCTTGCTTCCCAAGGAATGTCCTCCATCAACACAAAAAGCCAATAGGTCTGGCTGAAGCTGAGAGCAATTTGCAGGTGAAGAGTTGATTTTCAGCAAATGGTGGGTCATGTGTTCACACAAGGATGCACATGCTTTTCGGTGTGGATCACATTTATCTGACATAGTCAGATTACTTCAAGCATAGTTTGGGTTCAATTTTTGGGGGTATATTCCATGATCAATGATAATTGAGTGATGTGTTTCTAAAGTAGTTCAGCATGAAAAGGATGGCCTCGACCCAGTCTGGCAGGACCTCCAATGAAGGTGAGATGTCTGGACGGTATGAGATCTGACTCACTGAGATTGACATGCCAGTTTAGTCAGAGGTGATGGGCTTTGTGACTCAGGTGAATAACAACATGGTTGTGAAAATTCCAAATGGTGGGACTGTCCACAGAAAATTGAGACCTTGAAAGACGAAGCAAAGATATCAAGGTGTCCTCATATAATACTATCATTTCTACAGTATGCATTTCAGGTGAAACGGACAGTCTACCAAACCACGAGGACTGCATGATCAGGGCAACTTGGCAGGTGTTTGCCACAGAGATAAGATTCTCGGGCCAATGGCAATGCTGTTTCATCAATGTCATGGCCCAGGACTCACAATACAACAGTGTAATGCCGTCCTCACATGTCTAGAGCTACTATGGCTTTTCTTCAACATCACAATGTTCATGTACTGCACTGGCCAGCAAATTTACTGGATCTCTACTTTATAGAGCATGTGTGGGATGAAATGGAGCGACACCTTTGCTGTGTACCAAATCCACCAGATGTCTGTGACATATCAGCAGAGTTGAAGAGACTATGACAAGCCATTCAACAATGTTTTCATGCCCATTAGATAGACTTGCTGCCCCACATTTGAATGCCATGGACATTAAACATGTTGCTCTATCGTCTTCTTCTGTTCTCAATATCAATTAATTTACGATTACATGGCAACCATTCAAATTTAGAAAGAATTATAACAATGCACAGTTTCTTTTTGTGGCTTGTGTATTACTTGAACAAACTATTATGGATAGTTGACAATCAAGAAGACCTGAAGATCTGTGTATTTTGTACAGTACTGACATTAATATACATACATGTGTTTTGATTATGATGTAACAAAGATTGGGTAAGATAATGTGGCTCCTGAAGTAATTGATACTCTGGGAAAATAGCACCCTAAAAACTTTTGATAAGAGAAACAGATAACTCCTGTAGTCCTATACCTATGACAGTTAGGTACAAAATTTTGTAACACTGTCAAACATGGAATTGCCAAAAGGCTGTACTGTCTGAGGCAAGATGGGATTATGTTATTTTATTTTGAAAATCTATAATATAAAACAGCATTGTTGCTGAGACAGTAAACACAAGGTGATACTGATGCAATATGCCTAGTAACTACTCGGTCTCTTCTAAAAGATAGCTGGTGAGACCTCCCACGCTTCTGAACAGTCTGCATGTGCAATCTTCTTGAATTAGCAATTATTTTGGCCTTCAGCATCAAGTAAGAAACATTCCCAAGTAGTATATATGAGGTCTGAAGTAAGTCTGTAACATTTGTTACTTGTGAAGACATTTAGCAGCCCAACTACTAGATATTTCTCAAGTCCCTTACCTCCCCTTGATTTGCTGCAGATTTTCCTGACCAGAAGAGATGGGAGCAAGTTGAAACACCTCGACACTGGTCTGGTTTCTTCAAGAGTTTAGATGCTGCCAGAGCACACTGTGTTCGGAGGGGTTCATGATTCTCCTCACCAAAACAGGACATCTGTTCCAATGTGCCAATGATGAGAGAGATGGCAGCCAACTGGGCCTTGCTGTCACTGATTTCATCTTCGTACAGGGAAAATGCCTGAAATCACAAACAGAAATTCGAACGCATGCTGACATCACTACATTCACAAACATTCTTCATTTTTCTAGGTAACTATTCATAGCTTCAGTTACAGCTTCTGTAATCTGATTAACAAATTTTTGTACATACCTCTTTTCTAGGTTAAGCTTCATGTTTCAATTTAGGAATCAACACATAACAAAATCATAATGGACTTCCAGTATGGAAAAAAATAACTTAGATTCAGATAACATAAAATGTTCAACCCAGAACATACTATGCTTCCTACCAGCCATATGAAAATGTGACATTCACTACTGATCTTTAAGACTTAACTTCAGGTTGGGGTCTACATTATATGCTGTACAACTTAGATATGAAAATCTCAAGTACAAAACTTTATTAGTTGTATAACATCAGGGAGAACTGCAATACTCACACAAAGTATCAAATTCTCAAAACATCTTCACTATACACAGCCTGTGGCAGCCAATGCTTGAGCAAGTGCCAGTTGATGACAGTATTATTATTTCTAACATATCTAATGTTTTTCTGTTTCAACTTAATATCGGGCAAAAGGGTTCACAAAACACATTTGTATTCAGTAATTCTACACAAATATTTGTATGACATAACATATTCCGATATGAAAGTACGCGCTTTGTTCTTTATCTTCGAAACTCTGAACACCCAGAGAAATTCTTTACTTGAATGCACCTGTTACAAGAACCAGATTTTACTTCCCTTGATTTTCCTCTTGCTGCATTGCTGACTTTTGCAGATTGGTCAAGATGCAAAAGATTCTGGTGATTGGTTAACCCCCAAGGTGCTGATTTTTTTTAGCACATATTTATAAGGTCTGAAATGTGAATGTTTCACAAGAATTTTTTTGTATCTACTCTTGACACTAAAATTGCACAGAAATGTAGAATATTAAATTTCCTTCCCAATGAGTTAAATTCAATTTATAATCATTAGTTGGCTTGAAAAATAGACATTGAAAAAGGTTGTTGTACTGTATGACAATTTTTGGGGTTTGGCATCTTTATGGAAAGTGTGAGTGAACAAAATACTGCCTGATTACTTGGAGAGAATCTGCTGTGGATAAGGACACTATATTTTTGTAATGTTTTGTTCATGGTGAACAAAACTATTCCAATACAAAGATTCACGTTTTGGTAGTATCACAATTCATAAGAAATGAAGACACCGTATTACATAAGAAAGTATGTAATAACGAATTGGATATCCAAGCCCTATCCAATATATAAATTAGTTGTTAGATTCCCATATTCTCCTGGTTGTGTAGACGTATTTGACTAATTTTGCACCATTATTAACAGAGCACTCCCATTATCTTCAAATATAATTAAATTACTGGGAAAATTACACCACTTATGTGATGTCTTGTTGTATGTGTTTTGTGATGTCGGAGAAAGATGACATTGGTATGTTGATTAAAGTACTGCTGGAAATAGAAAAAAAACCCTGTTTTTAGGCTGTTACTCTGTATCCCTAAAATTTACACAATTGCAGATAGGATATGTCAAAATAACCCACGTCAGCCTAACTGGGCGTTCAATGGGATGCGTAATAGGATATCTAGAAAAGCATGTTTACTCGTAAAATCTGGCAAAACTTAGAAAAAATATGAATAGCTTCTGAAAACAATAGATCAGACTATACATAGGCGGATCCAGAGGGGGGGTGCAGGGGTGCGCACCCTCCCTTTTGTCCTGAAATTTTATTAAATGACCATTGAAACTCTCGTGAAAATGAAGTGTGCACCCCACCTTTCTCAATAGTGTGCACCCCTCCTTTCTCAAAAAGCTGTATCCGCCCCTGCTATAGATGGCAATTAGGTCAGCCTGGTCAGCCTGGGTATGGCTGCACCTGGCATGAAATGCATTTTGGGCTTTTTCAACAGGCACAATGGGTCATCTAACAGGTTATTTTATGCTTTTTCATGTAATGTTGAATATGTCTCATCATATTACATCTTATCAGCTCATAAATGTCTCATAAAGTTACATGCTGTTTAGTTCCCCAGATATGTCCCTGAAGGATTATGATAACCTTATATCTCTATCCCTAAAGCTTAAATCAGCCATAAAGTTTCAGTATTAAACCCTCCTATTATATATTACATGAAGCTACATCCTTAATAGTTTCAGTATTAAATCATTATTCATAATGAAGCTATCATTCATATTGAAGCTAAGTTTAATTTCAAAATGGGCATTTAAAAAGTGTCCTTTGTAATACAATATCATCGCACACTTGCATAAAGCCATGGTCTGTTCCAAATAAGTTCACACTTTCACATATTAACTACATAAATTGTACATATATATGTGAAAAAACCAGGTTTTTTTCTATTTCTGACAGCACTTTAGTATATATTTCAGGTAATGGTATAAAAAGGTCCAAGTTTGTCTGCCAGAAATTTGACATTTTCGACAGAACATAAAATATTCTGAATAGAAATAAACAATTAGACGGTTTGAATGTGTATCTTAATGTGGACAACACAAGCACCTGTTTGGCATCAATTTAAAGTAAATGAAAATTGATATTTCAAACACACGGATATATTTCTATAAGACTTTCCATTGTTTATGATTATGTGGCCATTCCTCTTCACAAGTATAATGTAGGATGCAACTATGGAACTATAAGAATAATGACGTTAGGTTGGTCCAAAGGAAGACATGGCATGGTTTATATTATATTTACATTTCTTGTAGAAATATATTTACAGTTTGATATCCTGTCATCACAATATCTTTCTTTTGAATAAAAATTGATATTATTGGAAACAATGAGAGTGAATTGAAAAACATGTGTGACTACAAGGGTTGGTCAAAAAGTAGTCACCCTCACCTAGGAAATGCTACAAATACAGCTGTTTCATTTTTCTACTTATTATCTGTCAACCTCAAGCAAATTGGTTTTGCTATGTTCCAGCCTCACGATCCCCATTTTGGTTGACTTATTATCTTGGTACCCCCAAAATGCAAAATCTGCAATAAATGCATCACAAACTTCAGGAAACAAAATATGCAAGAAACATTTATGTGTTTGAAATAGGTAGAAGTCTGCTAGAATCAAACTTAGATATTAAAGTGCCTAAAACATGCAATTTGAATTGACAATCGCTTGTTAAAGTGAATCCCCCCCTTCATGTTGCCTGAAAGAGCTTGTTTTGGAGACACTACCCATCCTGCTTCAGATGACTTAATCATAAGGACATAACTTATTCTCATGTTTTCACTATTCATATACATGATGCCAAGGGTTCAAACAAAATACTGAATGGTCACACAAGTGTCAGCTCTCAATATATTGTAAACAGTGACAGCTTGAATATCTGGAAATAATGTTTTTGAAAGATTAAAATGGGGGTGTCCTTAAAAAACGGCCCCCGTCTAAATACAGTTGAGCACCGTTGTGTCGAACTCTGATAACTCGATATCTCGGTTGTCTCGATATAACATCTCGGTCCCAGCAGAATCCTTCATAATTTATCATTATTCAAGCTCTTTTAACTCGATACAGGATGTCTCGATATTTCGGATATCTCGATATAATTTCATGGTCCCAACAAACAAAATTACCCTTAAGTCGATATTTACAAAGCAACTCGATATTCACCTACCTTTCATGGGCAAGTATCCCTCTGAACTGAGGTTGTTTCCACACGTTTACACACGGTTGCGGCATGAATCAAAGGGATGTGGTAGTGTAAACTAATTAGGGTTAATTGAGTTGAAGGTGTCACTTGTTTGTTATTTAATTAGGATTAATTAAGAAGGAATTAATTAGAAAGTACTCACTGTTACGACTAAACACTACTGAAAACGGATTTTAGTTTCGAATCAGAACATACTGAGAACTCAATGAGGGCTTTGTGTAATTGCAGTTGAGAACGGCAGATGCGTTCACAAGATTTGTGGAATCAAGAGATAGAGGGCGAGATGAGGTATCATTCAAGATGGACACTGTAACATGAGCTGTACCGTGTGTGACTGTCATCCCTGTGAGTAAAAATGTATGTACAAATATATATACATGAAATCTACTTTTTGTTTTGTTTTTCTTTCATAGTGATATGTGATGATATGCCCTGGTCGGATGTCTTGAAGTTCGGATAACTCAATATTTTTTCTTGGTCCCATGAATATTGAGACAACGGTGCTCGACTGTATATATCAAGCAGTCCAAATCTTTGACTGTTGATTATGACGGGAAGTCATCCAATACCATACTGAACATATTTCATATGATATCATCTGTTCTAAGATGCCTAGCGGTTAGAACAATCGAAAAAACCCACATTATCAGACAATAAAGGTATAGTTTTTTGATGACGTAACAATTGAATGTTGTTATCCCGTCACTGCGCCATTCTAGTGTGCCCCCTGGTAATTGAACCATTTTACATTACGTCACAATGTAAGCGACGTCACGATGCATGTCAGTTGTCATCGCCTCGTACGGCCTCCTACAGTAAACTACTCCGTTGCATCACGTTTCTTGGTTTGCAGTTGCTTCATGCAGCTAACATCACTGGTGGAAACATTACGTTTATGTTTTACTACGGTTAAAATGTGTGACTCACAAGTTTTCAGTGACACAGTAGCACTGCAATGTTTACATTCCCACAATGCAATCGTGGAATGTAACTTGACTACTCAGCTTCATCTGGATGTACTGATCTAAACTTAAGTTGGTAGTAGAAATCGACGTTCATATTGCCCCATAGTTTTCAGTCAATGACAGATGTAATTAAAATAATTCAGAGAAGATATTTAATCGAGCGTAAACCGTCATCAAACTGTTATCATTTGTTTTTTCTGGCAGCGTTGTCTTAACGTGAGGGGGCAGACACATCAATAGAACAATGGCGCCAGTTAGCCTGATCGAGGATTCTTAATTTAGGTCACCGACGTCGTAGAAATTGTTTTCTGCCTTAAATTCATAATTGAAAGTATTAAATTTGGCATCTTAGAAAGAAATACAGTTCAGCTCTACCACCATGTATAATGTAATAAAATAACTTTAAGCCCTGAACTATTATAGCGTTAAAGCACTTTCGGGACGCAAGTAAACCGTACATCAAACTATGATAGTTCGAAAGTGTGTTTTATTACACTATACACGGTGGTAGAGCGAACTGTATTTCTTAAACAGAACACCATTATCCAAGAGGTACCAAATGACATATTGTTTTTCATTTTCTGCAATTTTTAAGAAATATACTACCGACAATAAGTATGGGAACACCCAAATATCAAAGTATAACAAAGTAAATTTAAAGTGGCAGGGTCGGTTTATTACAAGGGTACATAAAACATTATTTGTTCTTAAAATGTAATGGATTTATGGGCAGATATCATTTACTGCAATGCCAGTACAAGCAGCGGAAGAGGATAGGGGTCAAAACTGAAAGTCACAGTATCAATAGTGGGTGTGTCCTCCACGTTGATTGATGCATTCTGTACATCTGCGCCTCATGGACCTGACAAGGGTCGGAGGGTAGCTTGGGGAATCAACTGCCATTCCATCTGGAGCCACTGTACAAGAACCTGAAGAGTCGGTGCCATTCCATGATTGTCTCTAGCACGTCGTTCAAGAATGTCCCATAGATGTTCAATTGGAGCCAGATCCGGTGAATAAGCTGGCCATTGCATCACATTCACATTATTTTGTTGCAAGAAGTCTCTAACGACTCGAGCTCGATGTGGTCTGGCATTGTCATCTTGCAGCTGTGCTCCGGCACCAATGGTGTTCAAAGCTGGAAGAACCAGAGGACGCAGAATCTCATCCCGGTACCTCAATCCAGTCAAATTGCCCTGTACATGGTACAGAGGAGTACGGTGATGTAAGCTGAAGCCTCCCCAAACCATCACAGAGCCACCACCAGATCTGTTCCTCTCCCTCACAGTAGCATCATGGTAACGTTCTCCACGGTTCCTGTAAACCCTAATCCTTCCATCGTTGTGCTCAAGACAGAATCGTGACTCGTCAGTGAAGAGTACCCCAGACCACTGTTGCTGATTCCATCTCAAATGTGCTCTGGCCCAGGCCAGTCTTGCAGCTCTATGATGTGGGCGTGGATGAGGGCGCATCGCTGGGACGACGTGACCGTATTATTAGCAGCTCTGAGACGGTTCCTGATGGTTGAGATGCTGACGATTGTGTTGGTTGCATGTCTGAGCTGCAGCCGTAGAGCACTGGCAGTTGTGAAGCGGTTCCTAAGGGCGTGGAGTACAACATATCGATCGTCTGAACTTGTCGTTTTTCGTGGCCTTCCTGACCGAGCTCTGTCTTGTACTCGTCCGGTGGTTTGGAACCGTTCCCTCAGCCTATGAATGACAGAAAGGGACACCTGAAGGCTAACGACCAACGCTTCTTAAGGATTCACCATATTCTAGCCATGCAATGGCCCTGCTTCTGTTGTGGTCGTTTTAATGGTCTCACGCTGAGGCATGTTGGGGTAATTGTGAGGCTTCAACACTGTCTGCAGCTTCTTTTAAGGAAAAGTTGCCACAACATGCATGGGAAGTCTGTCTTTCACGTGCACTAGGTTGTTGTGTTTGGGCGTTTGAATCAGACACAGTGCAGGTGTGTTTTGACACCTTCGTTTTTTGCTATTTTGGACACTTTTTAATTTCATCAAAACTTCACGAATTTTGAAGCAATTGCTTCAACTGTTCTTTTAACATGTCTTTAAAGTGTCCAATAAGCACATGTCACAGATACGTTTCACTTTTATGAATTAATGAAGCCACCACTGTCAGGTTTGTGCATAGCGATCAAATTTGAGGGTGTTCCCATACTTTTTGTTTGTAGTATATTATACCCCAATATGTTGTGATGACTATAATATCTCGTTACCCAGATATGTGAAATTTTGGATATGGCTTTGCTAATGATACTTTCAAAATAAAATGGAAGCTTTTCAAACACTGGACATCGAGAATATAGTAAGGCTGACTACTTTTTGACCGACCCTCATAACATGCACCTTGCCAATCATAAAATGACAAAGAAATTCAATGAACAAAACAATTCAGTTTTACTTATTAGGTGAAATTAAATCGCTGGTCATCAACCTGTTGCAGTTATGCCTATGTTTCATCTTCTGTGTTAAAGATGTGGTGTACTACTCAAAATGTGTGAATTTCTTATGAAAATATTGTGCAAACAAACAAAAACTTTTAAAGGATAAAAAACTAAGGCTAAAGTAGATAATGTAATTGGTAAGCGAAAGAAGATAAGCAAAATATACCCAGGAAATGGTCTCAAAAACGCAACCTGATCTAGGAAATGGTATGGTGTTCTCCATGTTTTTCATGCAACTCATGCTGCACGTGCTGTTCACAAGGACCAGCCCTATAAAACCTGGTTGAAACATTCACATTACAACGTCAGCAGGATGGCGCGACTCACGATAGCTCAGAGGAACCAGGCGCTAGGAAGACTTGAAGCTGGCCACATTGCACAAGCCATTACCAATCACTTCCAGGTCAACGTTTGGACCATCTACAGGCTGCAGCAATGTTCGGGGCCACCAACACCACAAATGATCGCCCCTTACTGGCAGACCAAGGGTGACCACAAGACGACAAGACCGTCATGTTGTGCGACAGCATGTACAGAATCCCTTCATGCAGGCATCCGAAACAGCACGCCAGACAGTGGGAACACACGGAAGACCAATCAGTACTGATACAGTACGCCCAACGTCTTAACAGTGGGAACCTCCATTGCCGTAGACCTTACCGTGGACCTATCCTCACCTTGTCATCGACGTAAACGTCTACAGTTTGCCCTACAATACCAAAACTGGCGATACAGACAATGGAGAACTGTTCTGTTCACAGATGAGAGTCGGTACTGCGTATCAACTGCAGATGGCAGAACAAGAATATGGCGACGACGTGGCCAGCGTTACTCAGACCAATGTGTTATGGAAAGAGACTCATGGGGAGGTGCAAGCATCATGGTATGGGGTGGAATAGGCCTGAACCAGAGAGTGGGTCCTGTGGTGTTCCAGAACCTTGGTCCAGGGAGAGGAGGCGGCATCACAGCTGTGTGCTACATTGACCAAGCTCTCTGACCCCACATCATACCACATTTCGCACGTCACCAGAACAACATTTTCCAGCATGATAATGCCCGGGCCCATACTGCAAGAGCTACACAGGTCTTCCTACAGCAGAACGGTCTCAACATTATGCAATGGCCAGCCCTTAGTCCTGATTTAAACCCAACTGAACATCTTTGGGATGAAATTCAGAGGAGACTGAATAATGTCATACCAAGGCCGAACACAGCCGATTTATTGCGCCAGGCCTTTCTTAGAGTGTGGTTCAATGTGCCAATGGCCTTCATCAGTCGATTGGTGCACTCCATGCATGCACACTGTGCTGCAGTTATTGCTGCTCGCGGTGGTCACACTGCATACTGAAGTCAAGAGTCTGAATGTTTTTGATCCACTTATTATGTCCATTTCTGTGGATTTGATTACAGTGCCTATCTAATTTTGAATTCGTACAGACGTTTTTTTTGCTGCTGAGTATATATACTACAGGGGTAGAAATACTTTTTTTTCTAAGTGTGCCTTAGGGCACCAGGCAAATATTTTAGGTGTGCCTTTCAGAAATCAAGTGTGTCCACGTTTCTAGAATAAATGACTGTAGCAATGGTGATGATCTTTTGAAATCTATTGTCAGAAAACAACAAATGTAACCAGTTTTCTGTTATCACTGATATGTCTTCTGTTTAAGATGAGTAGAAGATGGCCTTCTTATGTTTCATTTGTTCTGCTTTCCCAACACCTTTAATACCTAAGAATTGTGTGAGAGGTTCACTTTTTTCAATATACATTGTATCTAACATACACAATTTCCTCTTCAATAACTAAACTATTAGTACTCCAAACAATCAAAATGAAAAAACAACAACCAGATTTCTTTACATCAACCATCATAATTCCAGTGATTTCCTGGGTGATAAAGTCAATAAATGTTTTTACTTGTTTGTCATTTGCATAAGTGTTTTGTTTGGGGATTAAATGACTAAAGGTGAGTTATGTCTCTACAAAAATTAGGAGTGCCATAAGGGCACCGAGAACATTTTTATCCGTGCCATTTCGATATTTACCGTGCCATGGCACGCTAATATATGGGGTATTTCGAACCCTGTACTATAATACTAAAAGTGTAAGCAGCATGATAGGGTGATTGTGTTTATTCTTAGTGAGTTTAGTTTTACGCTGCTTTTAGCAATATTCCAGAATTATAACAGCGGGGGACACCAGAAATGCGCTTCACACAATGTACCCATCAGGGGAATCTAACCTGGGTCTTTGGCATCAAGAGCCAACACTTTAACCACTAGGCAACCCCTCCGCCCCTCAAGAGAAATTACCAAATATGTACAACAATGTTGACATATGACATCACTACCGATGACTGATTTCCTACAAAATGGCTTTGTTTGTTGACATTGGTACTAAGGATTCAATCATCATTCAGTGATGTAAGAAATCAGAAAGATTCTGACTATCTGTGTATTGTAATGTGTTTTATTTCGTAAGTAAGAAAAGAAGTAAGAAATTCAGATAATTACCGTTGTAGTTCTGTGTGATTTTGAGTCAGTTAGGGTTAGGCATTGCAGGGAAACTTTGACAATTTGGTATTTGAAATCATTGTACTGGATCTATTTTAAAATTCCTATTTCTTGCTACAATACTCTTTCCATGCATATTCTAAACATATTGAGCCAATGTATGCAATGAATAAAAAATGAAGACAATTTTTATGGATATATGGATATATCCATAAATGAAGTCGTATATCCATAAAAATTGTCATCATTCTTCAGCAACTCAACTTCTAAAATGCCCATCAAAGAAGTATGCAATGAATAGACAAATGGATGTCTGCACAAAAGGCTACACAGTGTAAATACTGAATTTTTCTTTGTCTACATTTTGCAGTCTTATCTTTACACAGCTTTTGTTTTCACCCCTAATAAAAGATTTCATTGATTTCATCTGGACACTTGCCTTTGGTGGCAAAGACCACTTGTTATTTGATCATAAAATGTATGAGGAATTCAATGACGTACTTGTCACAAGTAAGCATGAAATATGTGATGTAATGGGCATCTCATAACTGGCCTTCGCAAAATGTGTTTGGTTTACACTATCCAATATGGTCGAAAGGTCGTGTTGGAGTTCATGTATTTTCCAAAACTGATTCTAGGTTTATCGGTAGGGCTGGATATTGCCCTGATTTTCATATTGCGATATATTGCAATAATTTAAGAGATATTGCAATACATATTGTGATATATTGACTGGAAGGTTTCTGCCCAAGTGCGTACATCATAAATTCATAATAGCTCTCTGTGTGCGACATCATCTTCTTAGTTGTCGTTGCACCATACTTTCAGGCTCCCCGTCCCCATTGTGTATGGCTGTATGCCAATCGTTTACTGATAAATAAAATGATATAGAGCTTTAATGTGGAACATATTGCACCAACGTTTTGCGAACATAATGATAAAGGAAAACATGATTTTCATAGTCAGTGTTGTTTGCTTAAACAGAATGCCCTTCAGTGCAGTATGTAATTATTGTTACTGTATGTGACTCATTCAGATTCAATGTGTTAACATGAACTATTGCCAAATGGAACAAACACAAGATTTAGATTTAATCGCATGTGACCTCCAATAGCTAAGATCCTTGACTGGAATGTTATTATACAGTCCTACAATTTTTCTAAGACTCAGGCCTATATGATAAAATTGATATCATATGCCCCATTATGAAACAAACAAAATACTGTGAATTGCGAAATGGTCCACTAATAAGTGCAAAAAAAATTGGTCCATTTGAGGCCACTTAATTCCTCCAAATGAAACCATTCAAACCCACAAATGTAAAGTGTTTGGTAGACTATTTGGCAATTTTGGAGCCACGTATGACACTTCCACTTGTTAAATGTTACTTGAAACCAACAGTAATAAAAGTATATTTGGCACCTTTAGAGTACATTTGTTTGCTATGGAAATCAAGGGCAGATAATTCAAATGGAGCGAACTCTGATACAAGACAAATCGTATGGATAACAACTTCTTGGTTTATTTTTCACGTTTCTGGGCTAGTTCTTGCCCCTTCTTCAGGTGAATAATGGTGATAGTGAACAGTACAGTATATATATAGATGTACAGGAAGCCAGATATGTAAACTGAGTATATACAAGGGAAAAAGGAGGTATAATTTAGTATGTACAAACAATGCAGTGAGATCAAAGAGCAGAATAGAGATTTTCCGTGAGACAACTTGTAACATAACGAGTTCTTCCTCGGAAGCGAGGTTGTGGTCGAAGTAACAATAATACTGTAAGTAGTAATATATTGACACCCACCTCACTTCCACGAGAGAAATTGTTATGTTATAAGCTATGTCATGCAAAATCCTATTGGCCATTTTTGAAATTCGTAAAGACACGGGCTAAAGTCTGTTAGAATTAATGAGATTATGGTTTGTTTTCATCAAGTTAAAAAATCAAAAGTACTTTCTACTCGTAGTTAAATGTGTATTTGAATCATGACCAAAAGGATTTTGCATGACACAACTTACAACATAATGATTTCTTCCACGGAAGCGAGGTGGGGGTCGAAGTCACAATACTGCGCGATAAATTTCTTGCTACATTCCCATGGTTAACGTCCACTCACCAGTATGTAGATACTAGTCAATGTACGTCTTTATATTTGGTCTTATAATCCTAATTAGTTTATTATCATACTTGTATGCATTTTGAAACTAAATAAAAAGCAGACGATCTGCTGATAATCATAGTGAATTTATAACAGGACTGTAATATGTAGACATTTTATAGTTTGCCAATGTGAATCATAATTCACACACACGCCCTAGTGTATGTTGTCTGTCTCATTACTCTTCACGGCGAAAACAATGATTTTGTTGAATGCTACGACAAATGAATAAAAACAAAATGCAAATATTAAAATTAAAACAGATTAAAGTTATAGGAACAATGTCAGGCTATTACCTTGTTCGAGGAATGTATCCATTAATATCCACAAAAACGAGTGATATGCCATTCATCTGCAGCTGTTCCAAGTGATGTGTCTTTTAACAGTCTAATATACGAAAAGGTGACATATCGTTTCAGGTATTTCACATTGGTGTATAGTCTCATTGGTCACCCAAGATAGCACACCTGGCAACTAATTGCATAATGTCCGCCTTTCTTTAAAAAAAGTAATTTAGTTAGTCAGTTATGAGCAATCAATCAATGTATTGGCGGTTAATCCTTTGAAAGAAGGACGTTTTTTCGTAGACACAGACACGACAGAGTGTATTCAGTATAGATTAGTAAATCTACATACATAAACACTACCTTTTGACAAATCCGCTGTGCAAGATAAAAGTAATTAATCAATCAGCGTGTTATCGGTTAGTCCTTTGATCGATGTTTATAATGTTGAGCATTTACTCCAGACATGAGAAATGCCAAATGGGAACCTTTGTCGGGTAATCTAAGTGGTGTTACCACTAATTATACATGTTATAATTTCATTAACTGACCAACAAGTGAATGATGACAAATAACATGTGTAGGTTTATACCACCTAACATGGGTTACAACAAGGGAGTATTAATTGCTGTATTGCATATGAAAACTTATGGGCCGACACTGCTTTTTAGAATACAAACAGAACTTCATTGTTGCATAAGAAATACATATAGGCATTTTCTGTGTGCTAAAACTGTATGTACCTATTTACCTAAGTAAATTTTCAGATTCTTCTAGCAATGGCAAAGTAGGGTTGTTTAGTTTACGGATTCAAATAAATCAAATGTCAATTTTTAATATCATACGTAATAGACGTCATAATTTTACATGACATGATTAAATATCGAGGTAAAAAATACATAAATGGGATCAATTTGGATCAGTCATTATACCATCCAGGCATTAGAAAACCTGAAAAAGCCCACACTGCTTTAATACTTTATTACAATCAGACAAGAACTACCGGGGATATTTTCAAATAACTGCATCTGATGGGGATCCACCCTTCTTAATGTCGCACTGTTTAGGTTGAAGAAATTAACCGTAACCGTGATGAGCGAGGCTGATCATCGTTTTCACTATCACTAGAGTCTGGCTCGAACAAATAAGGCCTAGCGACACCAAGCGATTTTGACAGAATCGTCTATGAAAACAAGTTGTAACTCGGAAACTAGGCAAAGCAGGAGACAAAATCAAATGACAGTAGATTGTGGGAACATATAGCTTTCATTTTTCACAACAGTTGTCACGATTTCAGGTTTATACAAACCTGTAAACAAGATAATTTACCCCCCTGAAATGTTCTTGAATTCTGCATCAGCCCTCATTTCTATTCCTCATATGACGTCACAGAGACGCGCCGCTCTGATTGGTTGAAATTTCGTTCGCGGGTGAGAATTTTGTACTGTTTTAATGACGGGGTTTCATTTATAACGATGCCAATTAGTGATTTATGTATTTGTACCCCCCTAGAGTATATGTGATCTTTAATATTGCACAGCCCTATTTATCAGTGACATTTCAGAATTACCATTGGTGATTGGATGAAAAACAGATATCAGAGATCACTAATATGAAATTTTTGAAATTCAATCCTTTGAGTAATTAACCAATTTTACTATTTCCAAACATTCACTAGACAATGCTGTGAATCGGGATTTAAAAATGTGTAAAAAATGGCGCCATTCACGATGTAACCAAATTTGAAAGTTCATTTTCAGCAATTTTGCTTTGACTAAGACAATAGTGGATGGTATCAAGAAAGAGGAAATGTCCCCTTGAGCTCATAAACTCACTGAACACCCAAATTTTAATTACCATTTATTTTATATATTTATTGTAAATAAAGTTACAGCATGTAATAGATTATTGTGCTTTTATAAAATACAATTTGCACCAGACACATGTAAAAGTGGAGACACCAGACACAGGAAAAAGTGGAGGCACCAGACACAGGTAAGAGTGGAGGCACCAGACACAGGTAAAAGTGGAGGCAACAGACACAGGTAAAAGTGGAGGTCCCAGACACAGGTAAAAGTGGAGGCACCAGACACAGGTAAGAGTGGAGGCACCAGACACAGATAAAAGTAGAGACACCAGACACAGGTAAGAGCGGAGGCACCAGACACAGGTAAAAGTGGAGGCAACAGACACAGGTAAGAGTGGAGGCACCAGACACAGGTAAAAGTGGAGGCACCAGACACAGGTAAAAGTGGAGACACCAGACACAGGTAAAAGGGGAGACACAAGACACAGGTAAGAGTGGAGGCAACAGACACAGGTAAAAGTGGAGGCACCAGACACAGGTAAAAGTGGAGGCACCAGAAACAGGTAAAAGTGGAGACACCAGACCCAGGTAAAAGGGGAGACACAAGACACAGGTAAGAGTGGAGGCACCAGACCCAGGTAAAAGTGGAGGCACCAGACACAGGTAAAAGGGGAGACACCAGACACAGGTAAGAGCGGAGGCACCAGACACAGGTAAAAGTGGAGGCAACAGACACAGGTAAGAGTGGAGGCACCAGACACAGGTAAAAGTGGAGACACCAGACACAGGTAAAAGGAGAGACACAAGACACAGGTAAGAGTGGAGGCACCAGACACAGGTAAAAGTGGAGGCACCAGACACAGGTAAAAGGGGAGACACCAGACACAGGTCAGAGCGGAGGCACCAGACACAGGTAAAAGTGGAGGCAACAGACACAGGACAAGAGTGGGAGGCACCAGACACAGGTAAAAGTGGAGGCACCAGACACAGGTAAAAGTGGAGACACCAGACACAGGTAAAAGGGGAGGCACCAGACACAGGTAAAAGTGGAGGCACCAGACACAGGTAAAAGTGGAGGCACCAGACACAGGTAAAAGTGGAGGCACCAGACTCAGGTAAAAGTGGAGGCACCAGACACAGGTAAAAGTGGAGGCACCAGACACAGGTAAGAGTGGAGGCACCAGACACAGGTAAAAGTGGAGGCACCAGACACAGGTAAAAGTGGAGGCACCAGACACAGGTAAAAGTAGAGACACCAGACACAGGTAAAAGGGGAGACACCAGACACAGGTAAGAGTGGAGGCACCAGACACAGGTAAAAGTGGAGGCACCAGACACAGGTAAAAGTGGAGGCACCAGACCCAGGTAAAAGTGGAGGCACCAGACCCAGGTAAAAGTGGAGGCACCAGACACAGGGAAGAGTGGAGGCACCAGACACAGGTAAAAGTGGAGGCACCAGACACAGGTAAGAGTGGAGGCACCAGACACAGGTAAAAGTGGAGGCACCAGAAACAGGTAAAAGTAGAAACACCAGACACAGGTAAAAGTAGAGACACCAGACACAGGTAAAAGTGGAGGCACCAGACACAGGTAAGAGTAGAGACACCAGACCCAGGTAAAAGTGGAGGCACCAGACACAGGTAAAAGTGGAGACACCAGACACAGGTAAGAGTAGAGACACCAAACCCAGGTAAAAGTGGAGGCGCCAGACACAGGTAAAAGTGGAGGCACCAGACACAGGTAAGAGTGGAGGCACCAGACACAGGTAAAAGTGGAGGCACCAGACACAGGTAAAGTGGAGGCACGCTCAGACACAGGTATAAAGTGAGGCACCAGACACAGGTCAACAGCATGAGCATGGAGGCACCAGACAAGTCAGGTGAACCCGAGTAAAAAGGAGCCTCACCAAGAGACACAGGTATGGCAAGTGGGTTGCTGAGATCTAATTCTACCCGGATCTAAGAGGAATTACGACTGGAGGTAAAGTGGAGGCACCAGACACAGGTAAAAGTAGAGACACCAGACACAGGTAAAAGTAGAGACACCAGACACAGGTAAAAGTAGAGGACACCAGACACAGGTAAAAGTAGAGACACCAGACACAGGTAAGAGTGGAGGCACCAGACACAGGTAAAAGTAGAGACACCAGACACAGGTAAGAGTAGAGACACCAGACACAGGTAAGAGTAGAGACACCAGACACAGGTAAGAGTGGAGACACCAGACACAGGTAAAAGTAGAGACACCAGACACAGGTAAGAAGGAGAGACACCAGAGTAGGCCACCAGACACAGGTAAGAGTAGAGACACCAGACACAGGTAAGAGTGGAGGCACCAGACACAGGTAAAGAGTAGAGGCACCAGACACAGGTAAGAGTAGAGACACCAGACACACCAGACACAGACAGAGTGTAAAAGTAGAGACACCAGACACAGGTAAGAGTAGAGACACCAGACACAGGGAAAAGTGGAGGCACCAGACACAGGTAAAAGTAGAGACACCAGACACAGGTAAGAGTAGAGACACCAGACACAGGTAAGAGTAGAGACACCAGACACAGGTAAGAGTAGAGACACCAGACACAGGTAAGAGTGGAGGCACCAGACACAGGTAAGAGTGGAGGCACCAGACACAGGTAAGAGTAGAGACACCAGACACATGTAAAAGTAGAGACACCAGACACAGGTAAAAGTAGAGACACCAGACACAGGTAAGAGTGGAGGCACCAGACACAGGTAAGAGTAGAGACACCAGACACAGGTAAGAGTGGAGGCACCAGACAGAGGTAAAAGTAGGCACCAGATGAAGCCAGGCAAAAGCAGTGACGAGGTAACATACTGGCAATAATGGCTTACCATGTACGGTAATGCTATTTCTTTATTAATACTTTATCTTCAGATTGTTGAAGTCTTACCTGGGACATAAACTCATAGGCCACAGTTTCATAGTTGTCAAACTCAATCTGACCAGCAGCTAAGGCACCCTGAAGAAAAAGCCTGAGGGGGATCTCAGCCTGTTCAGCTTTAAGAAGGGCCCCAATAGTCTGATGGCAAAACTGGAAGATCTTTTGACATTTCTTTTCCCAGTTCTCATCCTGTAAAGAGAGAATGACACTGCTGTTAATGGTGACTATCATGCTGTTATTTGAAACACCCATCAGTAAGTGACGGGCAGAGAATGAGTAAATATGTCACTAATTTCAGATTTGGCTGTAGTAGTTATAGCTTGAAGTTTGCAAGTGTATATTGTGTCTTAATTTGGGAAGTAGCAGAACTTCAGAGTGTTTAAATCTCTTTTTGCAATAGCTGACTGGTTTTTATTGATGGTGGCTCTTTAAAATATTACCAACATTAAAAAGTAACTGAGGATAGTCCTAGAGGCACTGAGGATATTTTTTCCTACTAATGTCTAAAAAAGAAACATGTATGTTAAAACTGCCAGAGAAAACAGAACACATGTGTTGAAGCCCACTACTTACATCATCCTTGAGTGTGGAATATTTGAAGGCTAATCGATATGCAGCAAAGACAATTGGTGGTAATGTAAACTTGATTCTCTTGTCACCTCCACTACCAAAGTGCTTCCGTGCAGTGTTGAGGATCTGTAACAAAAAAACATCAGATCCCCTGGCATTTGATGAATACAGTAGAACATGATCATAACTAACATAGACATTTATCTTGCCTCACACATAAATGTCGTTTTCTGATTGGCTGAGCACTCTTCTATTATTTTCAATGTACCCTGCTTATAAGCGAGTAACATTTTCTATGTACCCCGCTGGGAATGCCGAACTCATTTGGTACTTCGTAGTAGTAATTCTTTATCTCGAATAACATTGAATCACGTATGATGTACGGAAATTACCGATGTTTTGCGAATGCAAATTGATGGAAGGGAGATAATTCTAAATTGTTTTTCTTGTCGTCTGGTACTCTATCCTATGATCCGATACCTGTGCTTCAAACAGTTCAAAATTACCATTGAGGTGTTCGGTAAGATAAATACGTTGTTCACTCAAGGGGGACATGGGCTGATGTACCCTTGATGTTTGTTTATGTTCCCTGAGCCAGAAGAATAATATCATACTGTTGGCAATAACAAACTGTTTCCAAAGTCCACACTGCTTTACCATTTATTGTCATGTAAAATCTTTCAAGCACACTGATTTTTCTCCCCAACGAGACATAAAATATGGTATGGCATATTCGATGAACCTCAACACAAATGTCAACTTGAACCTCAACACAAATGTCAACTTGAACACAAATGTCAACTTGAACCTCAACACAAATGTAAAAAACACAAATGTCAACTTGAACACAAATGTCAACTTGAACCTCAACACAAATGTCAACCTGAACCTCAACACAAATGTCAACCTGAACCTCAACACAAATGTACACTTGAACCTCAACACAAATGTCAACCTGAATCTCAAAACAAATGTCAACCTGAACCTCAACACAAATGTCAACCTGAACCTCAACACAAATGTCAACTTGAACCTCAACACAAATGTCAACCTGAACCTCAACACAAATGTCAACTTGAACCTCAACACAAATGTCAACCTGAATCTAAACACAAATGTCAACCTGAACCTCAACACAAATGTCAACCTGAACCTCAACACAAATGTCAACCTGAACCTCAACACAAATGTAAACTTGAACCTCAACACAAATGTCAACCTGAACCTCAACGAACCTCAACACAAATGTCAACCTGAACCTCAACACAAATGTACACTTGAACCTCAACACAAATGTCAACCTGAACCTCAACACAAATGTCAACTTGAACCTCAACACAAATGTCAACCTGAATCTCAACACAAATGTCAACCTGAACCTCAACACAAATGTCAACCTGAACCTCAACACAAATGTCAAACCTGAACCTTAACACAAATGTAAACCTGAACCTCAACACAAATGTCAACCTGAACCTCAACGAACCTCAACACAAATGTCAACCTGAACCTTAACGCAAATGTAAACTTGAACCTCAACACAAATGTCAACTTGAACCTCAACACAAATGTCAACCTGTCAAACACCCCAGTACTCCTTTGGGTTGGACAGCCCTTGCCACTGCCACTCAAACACCCCAGTACTCCTTTGGGTTGGACAGCCCTTGCCACTGCCACTCAAACACCCCAGTACTCCTTTGGGTTGGACAGCCCTTGCCACTGCCACTCAAACACCCCAGTACTCCTTTGGGTTGGACAGCCCTTGCCACTGCCACTCAAACACCCCAGTACTCCTTTGGGTTGGACAACCCTTGCCACTGCCACTCAAACACCCCAGTACTCCTTTGGGTTGGACAACCCTTGCCACTGCCACTCAAACACCCCAGTACTCCTTTGGGTTGGACAGCCCTTGCCACTGCCACTCAAACACCCCAGTACTCCTTTGGGTTGGACAGCCCTTGCCACTGCCACTCAAACACCCCAGTACTCCTTTGGGTTGGACAGCCCTTGCCACTGCCACTCAAACACCCCAGTACTCCTTTTGGTTGTACAGCCCTTGCCACTGCCACTCAAACACCCCAGTACTCCTTTGGGTTGGACAGCCCTTGCCACTGCCACTCAAACACCCCAGTACTCCTTTGGGTTGGACAGCCCTTGCCACTGCCACTCAAACACCCCAGTACTCCTTTGGGTTGGACAGCCCTTGCCACTGCCACTCAAACACCCCAGTACTCCTTTGGGTTGGACAGCCCTTGCCACTGCCACTCAAACACCCCAGTACTCCTTTGGGTTGGACAGCCCTTGCCACTGCCATTCAAACACCCCTGTACGATTTTAGTTACCGTATATTACCGTAGATAAGCCAAATTTTGAGGACCCAAAAAAGCAGTCTGTAGAAGGGGGTCAGCTTATCTATGGGTTATGCTTTCGTCAAAAATTTTCCAAGGGTAAGAAAACAACATTGTATCATTTCGCGTGAACAAACAACAGAAGACGACTTTGTCAGTAAAGACATCAAATTTGCAATTAAACATCACTAGACAAGATTATTTACCTTTTAAGTACTAAGCTGTTTTTGCTGGGCATTGTATTATTTGCAGGGAATAAGATTACCGTGTGTATTTGAGCCGGAAATAGCAATGAGCTGTGCACACATTTCCCTGCGATCAAGTTCAAACATGCACAATAATATAACGGGATGAATTCAGACGCAGTCATCAGTAAAAGTATAATACAGAATACTATACCTAAAGAAATATATCCTAACATTGTGTAATTTTAATTACAGGTTTTGCTCTATAAATGTAAAATAAATATAATCAATACTAACGTTATACGGACCCTCATGAACGTGGTAAGCGGAAGTTGTACGCACATGGAATGGGGTAAAATAGCAAGCCATGATCGTCCAGCTACAATAAGTATGATATTTAGCAAAACAAAATATATAATCCATTTTCTGTCAACTGCACTTCATTTCGATGCGTGTGTAGACGCAATATGATTGTGAATCCTTTGAATAATGTGGACCAAAGTTATAATTATCGGTAACTGCAAGTTGTCTGTGATCTGTGTTTGCCGCGATTAGGACCCCATCACGGGGGATCGGCTTATGTATGAAACATTCCATTCTGACACTAATTTTAAGGGTCAAGTTTGGGGGTCAGCTTATCTATGGGGTCGGCTTATCTACGGTAATATACGGTAGCTCCCATTTAATCTGAGGAAAATCTGCACACATTTTCTCAAGTTTTCAGTTTTCCAGAGACAAATGGCTACTGTATACATTGGCCTGAACTGACACGGTTGCTTGATTAAAATGCAAATTGCAGCCTGAGTTCCTTCTGTATTCAGTTGTTTAACATGTATGGTGCCAGCTTTACCATGAAATCTGATGCCCTTTTTCCTTAATGTATACTTAATAACAACTTATTGCCAATCACCTTTTGTGTGGTTTAATGTGTGGATCTCACTGACATCAATTTGTATTAATACATAACAGATTCAGTCATACATACCAAAAATTGCTGATTTGGATCATCAGAGTCCAGCAAATGAATAAACCTGCCCATGAGGCCTTGTTCTTCAGCAAAGTCTTCAGGGTCATCTGGCTCCTCTGGCTGATCTGGCTGATCTTGGACCAAACAGTTGACAATGTTCAAAATAGCATCCACCTGAAAGAGAAGGTACACCATTTAATGGCCATAGTTTTAATATCCAGTTTCCAAATGCGAAAAAATGTTAGTCAGCAAAATATGCAATATCACACCAGAAATCAAACAATAGTCACCATTATGTATAATTCTAAAAAATCTAGTCTTTTCTATTAAATCATAGTCATAATTTCCTGTTTTGGTTGTAATTATTGTAATAGCTATGTGGCAAATAAAATAAAATATGTGCATGCACAAGGCAGCATCTAGTATCTACTAATATCATCTTGTCATTAGTATTTCACAATACTTCAAAGATTTAAATAAATAATGAAGATGAACACAAATCTGTAAAATTTGTGTTTACATTGTTACAGACCAGTACTTTACAGCAAATATATCAAATTCATAATCTATACTAATTTAGCCAAATTTTAGCTAAAGCCATAAGGAAAGCAGTCTTCCATGAAAGATGTGATAAGGATGCTTTCTCTACAGGTTCAAAAGGATCATGCAATAACCCTGATGCAAAAAATGAGGATATTTCTAAGATACAGTAAAATGTCTGCAATAACTGGTGCTGCTACACAGTCATTGGCTGTTCCAGGTGTGACTCTCCACTGCTGGAACTGGTTCCACTTGAAGCCACATAAAGCAGATATAGAGCAGATGTTGACTGACTGAGTAACAGCTGAGGAAACTCCTTCTGAAACTCCTGCTGAAGTGATGGGACACTGGATAGATTCCATACGTGGAAGTTCCTGCAGGTTTCTTGTTTCTGATGAGATGCATGAACATAACTGATGCACACAATGATCACTTCTCAACAGAGTAATTGGGACGCAAGATTCGCTGGCACAGAATGGGAATAAAAAACACAACTTTGAGGCATGCCAGGATCAGATAGGACAGGAGGGACACCTAGTTCCCCTAAGTCAACATGATTGTCAATGATCATCATGGCGTCTGCAATTACCATGACTGGAGTCCTGGAACACAATACCATGCCTGTTAACTGTCACGCATCCTGCGTGAGACTCATGCATTTTACCTCACTGTCATGCACTCACACATTACCTCTCTAAACTCACAAATAATTGAAGATTAAATTATTTTTTTTTAACAATGTAACAGACTATAATACCAAGAGAACATTGATGTAGATAAGATTTCCGCTTCCTCCAGTAAGTGTATTTAGTATTCAAGATGTCATGTGATTTTGATTTGACGGTAAAGGACATAGTTATTTACCTTGATCACATGCTGAAAATAATGAAATATTTGTTATTTTCCATATTTTTAAGTTTAGTTTTTGGCTCATAAAGTAGCACCAAATGACATAAAAATAATTAAATAACCTAAAACCCAAGTTTTTTTGGGTGGGGGCTTTGTCCCCCTACACTCCACCACCAGGGCATTGCCCTGGACCAATTGAACTCTTACCACACAACGGGCTATGAACGGGGCAAGGAGTGTCAATACACTCCAAGCAATCTCCATGCACTTCCTAAGGGGACAATAATTTCCCACCGAGGCTGAGCAAGTTTTTGCACCTAAGAGGGAACACCAAATGTGTTTACAGAGGGAAGACCAAATAAGAAGCTACATTGTTTTGTTATTTGACTGACTGACTGAGTTGAGTTTTTAGCAATATTCCATGATAACCAAATAAGAAGCTACATTGTTTTGAATTATTTGAAATATCTGCTTTTTAGTGGATCGCCCTTGTTATTTGAAATATCTGTTTAGTGGAGAACATATTTTCAGATATTGCCAACATAGACAGCCATTTATGACATTACACTAGTTATTAATCAAGTATGTAGTAGTGTCAATCAAATGATCACTCAAAAACCTTCAGTTGCCTCCAATTTGTGAAGGTGTGAATGAAATAGAATCAAATGTAAGTAGAGAGGGTTCTTCCTTACACACAATTTCTGCATCAAATGCTTTTGCACTCACATTTTCCTGCAGAGGTATTTTTATATCATTTTCCAGAGCATTGTTGATAATGTAGCAGCTCATTATCTTTCGACCTTTGAAGTCGAAGTACTCAAACATGGGTCCATAGTGTTGAAGCTCCAGCACTGTGAGCAGGTTGTTGTATGTGTCCACAGGAATCTTCATCAGCCTCATCAGCTCTTTTGACACTGGAGTTCCATGCTCTAGGCTACAACACACACAAGTTGTTGAGTTATTGATGTAAACTGCACATGCTGTGAAATAGAAACCTTATCACCTGCTCCTGAAAAGTCCCCCACACACAAGTACCCTCTAAGCCCTAAAAAAGTCCCCCATACACAATGTCATGCCCTCTGTAACTTATCAAAACGTCCCCCTAGACATGCACCCTCCCCCTCAGCACATTTCCCCGTGGCACACGTACCCTCTAACCTCTCAACACATTCCCCAAGACACATTCCCCAATGTCTAACTTCTCAGTACGTCCCCCTGACACATGTAATGTCTACCTTCTCAACACGTCCCCCCTGACACATGTAATGTCTAACTTCTCAGTACGTCCCCCCAGACACATGTAATGTCTAGCTTCTCAATATGTCCCCCCAGACACATGTAATGTCTAACTTCTCAATATGTCCCCCAGACACATGTAATGTCTAACTTCTCAATACGTCCCCCCAGACACATGTAATGTCTAACTTCTTCTCATGTAATGCGTCCCCCCATGTAATGTCTACACATGACACATATGTCTAGCTTCTCAATCGTCCCCAGACACATGTAATGTCTAACTTCTCAATATGTCCCCCAGACACATGTAATGTCTAGCTTCTCAATATGTCCCCCAGACACATGTAATGTCTACAACTTCTCAACACGTCCCCAGACACATGTAATGTCTAGCTTCTCAATATGTCCCCCAGACACATGTAATGTCTAACTTCTCAATCGTCCCCCAGACACATGCTTCTAACTTCTCAACACGTCCCCCCAGACACATGTAATGTCTGGCTTCTCAATATGTCCCCAGACACATGTAATGTCTAACTTCTCAATATGTCCCCAGACACATGTAATGTCTAACTTCTCAATCGTCCCCCAGACACATGTAATGTCTAACTTCTCAAGTCGTCCCCCCAGACACATGTAATGTCTAACTTCTCAATCGTCCCCCAGACACATGTATGTAATGTCTAACTTCTCAATATGTCGTCCCCCAGACACATGTAATGTCTAAGCTTCTCAATATGTCCCCCAGACACATGTAATGTCTAGCTCTCAATATGCCCCCAGACACATATGTCCCCCAGACACATGTAATGTCTAACTTCTCAACACGTCCCCCCAGACACATGTAATGTCTAACTTCTCAATACGTCCCCCAGACACATGTAATGTCTAATGTCTAGCTTCTCAATACGTCCCCCAGACACATGTAATGTCTACTTCTCAATCGTCCCCAGACACATGTAAACTTCTCAATATGTCTCTTCCCCCAGACACATGTAATGTCTAGCTTCTCTTCTCAATATGTCCCCCAAGACACATGTAATGTCTAACTTCTCAACACGTCCCCCCAGACACATGTAATGTCTAGCTTCTTCCAAGACACAATCGCTTCTCCCCCAGACACATGTAATGTCTAACTTCTCAACACGTCCCCCAGACACATGTAATGTCTAACTTCTCAATATGTCCCCCCAGACACATGTAATGTCTAACTTCTCAATATGTCCCCCCAGACACATGTAATGTCTAACTTCTCAATATGTCCCCCAGACACATGTAATGTCTAACTTCTCAATATGTCCCCCCAGACACATGTAATGTCTAACTTCTCAATACGTCCCCCAGACACATGTAATGTCTAACTTCTCAATACGTCCCCCAGACACATGTAATGTCTACGTCCCCCCAGACAGACACATGTAATGTCTAGCTTCTCAATCGTCCCCCAGACACATGTAATGTCTAACTTCTCAATATGTCCCCCCAGACACATGTAATGTCTAACTTCTCAATCGTCCCCAGACACATGTAATGTCTAACTTCTCAATATGTCCCCCCCAGACACATGTAATGTCTAACTTCTCAATATGTCCCCCAGACACATGTAATGTCTAACTTCTCAACCACGTCCCCCAGACACATGTAATGTCTAAGCTTCTCAATATGTCCCCCAGACACATGTAATGTCCCCAGAACTTCTCAATCTCAACCGTCCCCCAGACACATGTAATGTCTGCTTCTCATGTCCCCCAGACACTTCTTCGTCCCCCCAGACACATGTAATGTCTAACTTCTCCACGTCCCCAGACACACATGTAATGTCTAACTTCTCAATACGTCCCCCAGACACATGTAATGTCTAACTTCTCAATATGTCCCCCAGACACATGTAATGTCTAACTTCTCAATACGTCCCCCAGACACATGTAATGTCTAACTTCTCAATATGTCCCCCCAGACACATGTAATGTCTAACTTCTCAATACGTCCCCCAGACACATGTAATGTCTAACTTCTCAACACGTCCCCCAGACACATGTAATGTCTAACTTCTCCCAGACACATGTAATGTCTAACTTCTCAATCCAAGGCACATGCATGCTCTAACCTTTCAACACATCCCCTAAGGCACATGCATGCTCTAATCTCTCAACACATCCCCTAAGGCACATGCATGCTCTGACCCCTTAACACGTCCCCAAGGCACATGTATACTCTAACCCCTCAACACGTGCCCCCCAGACACATGTAATTTCACAGTTTGAAAAGTATTTTATATTATTGTCCAACCTATTCAAATTACAGAATGTGAACGTCCGGATTTCACACAAAGCTACCCTTCTAGTGACTTTGGTATCACAAAAATCACCACCCACAAATCATATTAGTGAAAGTAACAGGTAAAGCCTGAATCTTGTTTTGTAATTCATTGCAATAATGATTCAATTGTACACTGCAATACCCCCCACAATATATTACATGTGTTCTTTCAACTGTAATTGTTTATGAACCTGAATGAAAGCCTTCCCCAGCCCTTCACACTGTGGACAACCTTGTATTTTCTGGAAAGTTGCAATGTCACAATGGATAAAGTAATAGACACATTATATACAGGAAAGCTGATCACAAATACTTTTGCTCATTCATTTCATACAATTTTTCCTTTCAATTTGACTTGTCAGTTGTGCTCACTTGTATAAGTGAGTGAGTTTTGTTTTATGCCGTTTTAGCAATATTTCAGCAATATCCCGACAGGCTCTCTTGTATAAACTTCATGAAGAAATGCATGATTTGAAAAAAGGCAATGTACTGGTATTTTCAAAACATATTGTAATATGTCCTCACTAGTATTTCACATCATGATAGACTGGTAATACCACACATCTCTAGGTAGCAATACACACAATGTCGCGTGAGCGCATCTAACAACAACCACTGTGACTCAAAGGAACAGCAACAAAACAGAGTAAGGTACAAAAAATTAATGACCTTACAGTGGATTGCAGCATAATTAAGAAATAAAAACTATGCCATGTCAGCTTTGCATAAATTGTTTGAAATCTAATTGAATGACAAGGCTAATTTTTGAACAAGTACCTAGAAGAGTCATGCTAATGGCTGTGATCTATAAGCTGTTGTGGCTATATATAAGACATGTTATGTTGTTGCTGCTGCAATATGTTACACAGGAGAAACATTCCATGCGGAAAATCCTGTGTATGACTAATGTTACTCATTGACGGTGATTCTGCATCAACAAATTGCATGTCAGGTTGTAATTCTGTCCATTATCTTGGCAGAACACAGGATCTCATAAATGGAATTTATATCGAGTCAACAAACACTTACCCAGTATTCACCTGAAATGTTACAACAAAAAATAACAGCCTTGTAATTCATAGAACTTTGATGTCTTAAATGTTCGTCCAACTTCTCAGTGTCTGTCAAAGACAAAAACATGTGGGCATCATATGAAAATGATTATGACTCACTGATCCAAGTTGAGCCTGTGGAAAATCTCTTCTGTTGTCTCCAAGACCTTGTCCACATAGTCTACCTTGTCTGGATAGCATTTAAGTGCCAAGTTGATCAGAGCAACTTGCAAAGCTACAATGTCTTCAGGCGGCATTTCAGGACGATTCTGGAATAAAGTAATTTCAGTGAAAACAAAATGGCGAAAGACTTACATGAAAAACAAGCATGAAGTCGTTCCTTGTCACAATGACATGGCCAGTTTTGCGCAAGGCAACAGCATCAATGTTTATTGGAACTGTTAGAAACAGAACCACCTCAACGTCTTATTTTTCCTAAATAATTTATCACATACTGTGTCCAAGTTCCCTTGTCAAGTGGAATACATTTCTACGAGGTAATTATGGCAACAGTTATCACAATGTTTTAATGACATGAAAGCATGGTCAATAACAACAGAGTGTCATTCTGGAAATTATTCATGATATACAAACTGTTCAAACACTAACTTTTGAAAGATTTCGTAATTGAAATGAAAATAGCTGCACAAACAATCAAGCTATGGAAATCGCTATTTTGCCGTCACCATATTGTCGAGTCATAACTCGCTAGGTCAATGAAATTGAAGAATGTCGTAGACCTAAATAAAACGACCAATCAGTGGTAATCAAAACATAAATCAACTGATAAGCACGTGGTACATTTCTTTACCAGTTGCAAACTATCTTGAAATTAGCAAAATTCAGATTGTAATTAAAATGACTGTTCATTGTACATATCCTTGTATTATGGGTTTTCAGATGCTCAAAAAAGATTTGGGATTTTCTCGAATAATTACATGAACAGCAGAACATCATACAAACATAAAAAGGATAATTTTTTGCCGTCACTTGAGTACTTAGGATGTTTGTTGTGAAGCAACACCCCCCGTTATAGAGCTGGTAAACACCGCCATCCGAAAACGTATGATGCCAGAAAACACATAACAAAACCATCTTCATAGATTTTATTTCACTGGATTAAATTTAGTCCCACTTTGATTCATTAAAATTGTTCAACATCTGTGAAAACCTCTGTGAAATGGCATCACCTTATTCTATACACGTACCACTTCTGCTCAGGCCTAAAATAAAATGTTGTGGTTCTGATTATCCGACTGACCCTTGCATTCTGGTGCCGACCCTATTTTTCTTTCAGCGGAATGAATAAAATAAACTTTCAGATACCATTGTTATTTCCCGGTGTAACAGGCCAAACTTTCCCCCTGGCCAAACCTTCCACGGGGAAACTTTGGCAAAGGACAAACTTTCCCTGGGGAAACTTTGGCATAGGACAAACTTTCCACCCCTAGGCTTAATCTTCCCTGGGGAAAGTTTGTCCTAGGCCAAACTTTCCCCACCCTTGAACCAACTTTAAAGGCTACTAGTTTCCCATCCTTGTTCATATATCAAAAGGGGGAGATTCTGGCCCAGCTAGGCTATTTCTTCCCTAACCTTGTTTTCATGTTATGTTCATCTTGAAAAAGTCAGAAATGAAAAACAAGACATAGCTATTCACGTGAACACATTGATAAGATATTCATGTTGATGTCAAGTTCCATTAACAATTTACAGGTCATCTTCATCTTCATATATAACATGTACATGGTTCACAATTTGTTTTCTCAAATCATGTTTGACCCAACACAATTCCCTAATTCCAAATTATTAAACATCATTTAATATTACAAAATTTATCTTTACTTTATTATATATTATATCCTTTCTTTTGTTTTATATTATGATTTACATATTTTTATATTTCAATAATTTACTTATCCCCACTTATTCCAAATTGGCTGATCTCAAAATCATTACTATATTTGAAACTTTAACTAAATACCCAGTTTTTACTTGGATGTCCATATCCATTCAAAATTTTATTTCCTCACTCATGGCTTTAAATATGGCATCCATGTCGGTGACATCAACTTAACAGTTGGAAGCAGATGTAAACATCAACACAACAACAACCCAACACAATATCTGTATCAAATGCTGTATCATCCAGATGTAAACATCAACACAACAACAACCCAACACAATATCTGTATCAAATGCTGTATCATCTATCATTCCACTATATTGCAAGTCCATTCTTGCCTCTGACTTGGGTGTACTGATTTGAATGCACGGCATGTTTGAACGGCATATATCTCTTTATCCATCCTGCTTCTGGCTCCATTCCTATGAAAACACATTGCATTAGTTCTTCATCTGTCAAATCATGTCACCTTAAGATGTAAATCATTCAAGTATACCCCTTAACAAATCTTGTCTTTTGAATTTAGAATAAGGCAGTATTGTGGAATGATAGATGATACAGCATTTAATTAATTAATTAGTGAATTTATAAAGCGCTAAAATACTCCAGGCACTAAGTGTCTGCTCTTAGCGCTAATATCATTTGATATAGATATCGTGTTGGGTTGTTGTTGTGTTGATTTTTACGTCTGCTTTATGTCGCCTATGTGGATGCCATATTTAAAACCATGTGTGAGGGAATAAAATTTTGAATGAATATGGGCATCCAAGTAAAAACTGGGTATTTAGTAAAAAATTGGAATATAGTAATGATTTTGAGATAAGCCATTTTGGAAGAAGTGGGGATAAGTAAATTACTGAAACATAAAAATAAGTAAATGATAATATAAAACAATAGTAATGATATGATATATAATAAAGTAAAGAAAAATTTGGTAATATTAAATTATTTTTAATATTTTGGAATTAGGGAATTGTGTTGGGTCAAACATGATTATTTTTACCAGTGGTTGTTTATATTTTAGTACTCATGTCACAGAGATACATATTGATACAAAACTGTTTTCTTTAATTTTCTGTTAAGCTAAAGGGTCCACTGCATACATTTTTGTACTTGTCCTAGCAGGTTGCACCTGGTGCGAGTAACTTTGTAATCTCAATTAGTTCTAGCTCATGATTATTTGATCATTATTGATATATAGGAAGATAAATGATGCAAAAGATTCATGCTTTGTTTCATGACAACATCTGCATCATTAACTGTATATACATGCTCTCACATACTTTTGACACTTTGCTTTTATTCTTGCTTGCTTTTCTTTTTAATCTCACCTTATATAAGGCTATTGAAACAAAATGTGAACCATGTACATGTTATGTATGAAGATGAAAATGAAGATGACCTGAAAATTGTTAATGGAACTTGACATTAACATGAAAATCTTATCAATGTGCTCATGTGAATAGCTATGTCTTGTTCTTGTTTCTGACTTTTTCAAGACGGACATTAACATGAAAACAAGGTTGAGAAGAAATAGCCTAGCTGGGCCAGAATCTCCCCCTTTCGATATAAGAACAAAGGTGGGAAAGAAGTAGCCTTTAAAGTTGATTCAAGGGAGGGGAAAGATTAAGCCTAGGGGTGGAAATTTTGACCTAGGACAAAGTTTCCTCGGGGGGAGATTTGGCCAGGGGGAAAGTTTGGCCTGTTACACCAGCACCAACAGACATTGGTCATTCTGATAGAGGAAGTTGATATAATGGCTGCAAGTTTAACTGAATAAACAATTATACGTTGATTATTAGTTTGTACTAGTTTGTACTTTACTTCTAAAAAAGAAATATGTAAAAACAAATATATTAAAATTCCTACCTACCATATATTACCGTAGATAAGCCAACCCCATAGATATGCCGACCCCAAAACTTGACCCTTAAAATTAGTGTCAGAATGGAATGTTTCATACATAAGCCGACCCCCGTGATGGGGTCCTAATCGCGGCAAACACAGATCACAGACAACTTGCAGTTACCGATAATTATAACTTTGACAGAAAATGGATGAAAATTGAAGTTGACAGAAAATGGATAACATATTTTGTTTCGCTAAATATCATACTTATTGTAGCTGGACGATCACATGTCAACAAACTGGCTTGCTTATTTTACCCCATTCCATGTGCGTACAACTTCTGCTTACCGTTCATGAGGGTACGTTTTTCACTCCAACTGCGATAGCCAATTTCACATCATATTATCAACAATCACGAACTGATTACCGTTTCGTTTTCCATGGACTGCTAGTTTACAGTAACATCGGTAAAAATGTGTGAATTTAAATGGCTTGCATATTTTACCCCATTCGGTATGTGCGTACAACTTCCGCTTACCACGTTCATGAGGGTCCGTATAACCTTAGTGTTGATTATATATATTTTACATTTACAGTGTCTAATTTACTTTTCAGATGAAGTGAGCCCTGGGCCCATGGTTAATTAAACTAGTGGGACATTTACCATTGTAGGTGGGTCACCAGAAAAATCAAGGGCGACAATGCATTCACTCTACAATTTTAATGAATTTGTCATTCAATTAGCTGTTCAGTTGCATCAATTAAAGTGTTAATTTAAACACTGTTGCTTTGGCCATAAAAGTTATTATCTTCTAACTCAGTCTGTTTTAATTTTGAGTTAGTAAAAATAGAAAACAGTTACAGTCACTTTGGTAATACTGGGCACTGGGTAAATTGTTTCACATCTTTTGAAACAGTTTTCTCTGTTTCACTCCATTCATTAAGACTGTCCTCAAAATTGAAATCCTGAATTCTTGAACCTTTGTTTTCAACTAAAACCTCTCTCACAGTCTGATGTGTGGATAGGTGCTGTGAGTGCAACTGAAGCAAGAATCAGTAGATTAGGAAAGTCTTGAGAGTGGTAGCTGTGTATCAAACTCCACAGATTCTGCATGTTATCTCTTGGATAACCTGAGTTAACAACTACCTTCTTCAGTTTCCCCCATTCCACCCGGGCATCAGCAGCATCAATGATTGCTTTCACATGTACTTCAGTCCCATTAACAACCCGTGATTTATCACTCCCAAAGTGTTCCAATAGCTTCTCTAATTTCAGATTTCCCCACATTTCAAGTTCATCACTGGTGAGAAATGAAACTGAATGCATACCAAGCATACCAAAGGCATTTTTATATTCTATTGGTTTTGGAATTACATGGAATACACAATATGTCGAATCACCTACGTTATTCATACAATCCTTAACGACAAGATTAAAAGATATGTATATTCAAACATGGAGTGAAAGGATATCCTTATCAAATAAGTGCATGTATTAAACATTGTTTAAAAATGCCATAGTTCTTGAGTCATATCTATCCTGTGTTAATGTTAAAAAGTTTAGAATAGCACTGGCACGATTCAGATGCTCTTCTCATGATTTGTTGATTGAAAGAGGCAGATATATGAATGTAAAAAGAGAAAATAGAATATGTACACTTTGTAATTTAAACGAAATAGAAGATGAATTACATTTTCTCCTAATATGTCCATTTTATGACCGGTTGCGAACAAAATATATTAAAAGATATTACTATGTCCATCCAAATGTGATAAAATTCTCCTCATTGTTAAGTAGTAAAAATCCAGTTCTTCTACAAAATATTTCAATGTTCATTTACTATGCTGTGATTACCCGATCTAAATTCCTCTCAAATGTAACATAACTTTATGTACTATAGGCCTGTGGCCTTCTCAGTGCAAATAAAGATTATTATTATTATTATACCAAAGGCATATATGGTGCTGTTGTTTGGAAACCTTTTCTCAAGATTTTTTATTACAGCTTGAATAAAGTTATTTCTGATATTTTCAATGTCATTTCTACGTTTCAGGAGATGATTGGATTGAACTGAGCTTTTCCTGATTCATTAAGTGTCACATCAATTTGAAGCTGATCCATGTAGTTAGGTTTTCTGTGAAAAGGAATTTTCTACTGATACTTACTTGCACAAGACAAATATCAAGATTTCTCTTCTGAAACACTAGTGGACAGTTCAGAGAGAATAGACAATACACTCATCAAAAGATAAGTGCAACCAACAAATATTTGCTGAGAAATTTTCTTTGCAAATCCCTGACCCTTTGCATCCTTGTGATTGATGAAAATTGTCATAAGGGAATGTAAGCACCTGTACACAGTTTCAATTGCTTTATAGATTGCCAACCATCGTACAGAATGAACTTCTGTCGTTCTAAGTGTAGGATCTTCCAAAACAATCTGTATCTCTCTCAAGGACTCATTTCTGTTGGCAGAATGCTTGACATAATAAAACATGGAGGTTAATGTCTCACTATAGTCCTTCACTGCTGGACTATTTTCTGCAGCTTGAGAAGAAACCAATGCTAGACGGTGCGCTATGCAGTGGTAATTTACCATCATGGGATTTTTGTTTACACATCTGTCCAGTAACACCTTTGCCCAAACCTGTCATGACATGTCACTTCCAAAACCCTTACATTTAACTATGCGTACATTCTTTTCATTAAGGATATTTGTAAGTGTCTCTGCTATTGCAGATCCTTTACCCTGTTGAAGTTAGGCATTAGTAATGAAATGTGTAGATGCAGTAAATGTCTCTGGGTCAATCACAGTTGCATACACTCTTAACTTTTTTGTGAACGGTGATGTCCGTACTTTCATCAGTCAATATGCTTACAAATGGGGAACGGAAAAGCTTATTGTCCAAGTCTCTCCTTATAACCGATGCCAGCGCCGACACCATTTCGTTAACTTGTTTGAGTGGCATTCAGAAGTTGGTGTGATGAACAAAGAGGAGAGTTCTATGGATATACAACTTCTTTAATATAATATGAGCAACGTTTCGGTGTAGCTACTAAGACCGTTATCAAGCAAATTATGTTTATCCATAGAACTCTCCTCGTTCACCATTTCGTTAGCTGTTGGAATGCTGGTGTATGTTGTATATCCTGACCCACAGCCTTCCCGGATCTTTAAATTCACAATGAAAGGACAACATAGTTCACTAAGCACATTTTTCACTGCCATTTTCATTTGTCCCTTCAACGATTCAGCTTGCATGGCAAGTTTATGGTCGGCACTATCAGCGTGTCTCTTGAGCGTGGAAGTACGGAAATTATCAGTTCCATCATTGAAAACATTATGTTTTCCATTTTTCAGACAAAGTGCACAAGTCATTTTGTTTTTACACTCATTATACAGAACCCACGGATACAAACCATGCCATTTCGTTTGGAACAAACGGATCAATGTTTTGCTCTCAGTCTCAGTTTCAACATCGGTTGGCGTGTCATTGGCTATTGATGGTTCCGTTTCAATTACTGAATTAGAACTGTCATCACTTGTCTTTGCAACAGTTTCGGTATTTTCTCTATCAGTTTTTGTTCTTTTTGTTTCGAAAAATGAATGTATTTGAGCCTGCCGCTTGACAGCAGCAGACGACTTTTCACCCGACATTTTGTTTCGACAACTGCACACTGTCTTTTCAACTTCAGTTACCGGCCTTTGATATACACCTTGGAAATACACTGGTAAGGGGCATAACTCTTAATGTATAACGAAACAGCATGACTTGAATAAGCTACGTATTATAAGCTCCATGCATTGATTTAGGCACCACACTAAATGAGGGAAAGCGTGTACAGCACTGCGGGGATTACGAATGACGATTGATATGTTTTTACATGATTGATACGAGTCAAATTATTTATATAGTGCGCCAATCAGACCCACCAGGTAAAGGAATAGTGCATAATATTTAACTATCAAGCGCCAATGGCGCAAGGGCGCGGTCTAAATTAGACTCTGCATTTATAGAGCAAAACCTGTAATTAAAATTACACAATGCTAGGATATATTTCTTTGGGTTAAATAATAGTATTCTGTATTATATTTTCCTGATGACTGCGTCAGAATTCATCCCGTTATATTATTGTGCATGTTTGAACTTGATCATAGGGAAATGTGTGAACAGCTCGTTGCTATTTCCGGCTCAAATACACACGGTAATCTTATTCCCTGCAAATAATAAAATGCCCAGCAAAAACAGCTTAGGTAAATAATCTTGTCTAGAGATGTTTAATTGCAAATTTGACATCTTTACTGACAAAGTCGTCTTCTGTTGTTTGTTCATGCGAAGTGATACGATGTTATTTTCTTACCCCTGGAATTTTTTTTGACGAAAGCATAACCCATAGATTAGCCGACCCCCTTCTACAGACTGCTTTTTGGGTCCTCAAAATTTGGCTTATCTACGGTAATATACGTTACCCTAAATTTTAAAGAGGTGTAATCGGAACCACAATTTTTTATTTTATTTGGCCTTACCATACTCATGAGGGTCCGCTTTTCGCTCCTAACGTGATAGCACCAATTTCACATTATTTTAACATTCACGATCGGATTACCACCTAGTCATCCATGGACCCCAAGACCAGCGTTATTGACTCATTGAAGTTATATAAGACAATTAATTGCCAACATTTTGTTTTTGCAATCAAAGTGCCATGTACCGTGGGAAATCGACGGTGACTTGTCAAACTGTGCCATACGTAAAATGTATCCAGCCACATACCCAAAGCACTGAGCCTATGTTAATTATTATGTTAAATGTGTACATAGAAAAAAACATTATACTAAGATGATAGCAACTTGTATTATCCCTTTAAAATAACTGCTTAAGATATAATTTTTTTTGATAATGGAACAGACATTCCCTGAAGTTATATTTTCGGACGTTTTAATTGTATCACTGCTAGATTCGAGCGAACTGTGTACACAGCTGATTGCTATTTCTGGCTTAGTAGAATAACAAGTAGCATAACAGGAATTATCATGTCTAGTGCTGTTTGATTGCAAGTATCCTGCACATATATCTATTTTCATTTTCAAGGTTTGTTTTTTCACCTCAGACGATATGACATGGTTTTGACTGGGCACAATACACGAAATAGCAGTTACATTATTGTATTCTTGAATAATTATTCGCATTTGTTACCCAAAATTCGTGATACATATCGTTTTCGTCACATAGTGTATTTGTTACAGCCCTATATACAACATAAATAAACCTCAACAAGTGTTTGCCACTGATATGGCAATGTCCCTGCCACTAAAGAATGGAATATCTATATTTACTGCTTTTTATTTTTTGGTCACATACAAGATGCCTGAAATGACTGGTGTCTGCATAATCACCCAATGTAGGCTGTCAACATAATTGAAAACATTGGGTGCAATGTTTCATGAGATATCGCGTTTAAATAAGTTAAAAAACGGTCAGTGTCATGGTGACCTTGAAGATAAGGTCAAGGTCACTCAAATACACTGGTGTCTGCGTAATCCCCCAATGTAGGCTGTCACCAAATTTGAAGACATTGGGTACAACAGTTCATGAGATATCACATTAACAAGAGTTTGAAAAGTGGTCAAAGTGTCGTGGTGACCTTAAAAATAAGGTCAAGGTCACCTAAATAAACTGGTGTCTGCGTAATCCCCCAATGTAGCCTGTCACCAAATTTGAAGACATTGGGTACACCAGTTCATGAGATATCGTGTTAACAAGAATTGGGACGTACGTTCGGACATACAGTCCCCTGTTCCGCGTTGCGGCGGGGGACAAAAAGGGGACCGCTAAAAAGTATATGTTTGGTTTAGTTGAAAATGTGGTCAGGGGGCCCTTATGAGGACAGAGTGTTAAATACGTTGAATACGGTATGTTTGATACATACGAAAAGTTTTACAATGAAGAATTAAATAGTTTCTGAGTTATGCTCAAAGAAACTAATGCTACACATATTTGAAGTTGTTGCCAAAAATGCTGTACCTCATTTTATCAACATTTCAATGACATTTTAAGGAAATGATTTGGGTTAATGCATACCTGAATCACCTGTGCAATCTGTTGGGAAAAAATGTCAAAAAGCTGGATATCAGCTGGTATACCACTTCCTTCTTCATTCTGTGCAAATGCAGCGAGTCTGAAGCAAACAATACATGAACATTAGCCTTTTATGACTTATTTCATATGGTAAAGTGAGGTGGGTGTTAACTGCATATGACCTTGTATGACTGATTGACTGAGTACAGTTTTAAGCAGCTTTTAACAATATTCCAGCAATATCACCATCAGTAGTGCCACTATCATTACTATTTCATAACTATTTGAGTGTACAAGTACTACTACTTGAGTGTACTAATATTTAAGTGTACTACTGAAACATGTGTTACTTTATGTCCCAAACATACCCATATAGAACAAAATGTTTTGCTAGTGGAGAAATCTGTTTTATGGATGTAACGGGCATATATTAAAACAGCATTAAGCATTAAGGTCCACTTTCCACAGTCAACAGCAGCACAATTGGGCCACTTTCAGATTTCACACTGACTAGCCATATGTGTTGGAGCTTGTTCAGTACCATGTGTGCCCTCCTCATCGCATTCGCACCAGCAATCCAACGTTGTCTCATTGACTAACACACATGAACTCAGCATTAGGCAACCTGCGCCCAGCTCCTGAACATTCTACTAAGACTTCTACCAAGAGCAATCCATATGTGTCCACATTACCCGCAATTTTAGCCATTTGCAGGTGCAATTGTGATCAGCATAGATGTTCAGATGTTCATGACCTGTGTCAGAATCAGCTCAACATGAGGACACCAGGCACGAAGATGGGCAGCCTGCAAGCAGTTTCATTGGGTTTGGGCAGTTATGTGACCGCTAAACGGTGTGCTTGGTTGATGCTGCGGTCATAAAACGATTATGCAAATGGTGTAGCCAAACTTGATTGACCTTGGAAGGAGACGTCATACGTCCCTGTCTTGACCTGGGCCAATAGAGTGGGCTAATTCAGTGTGCTACTACTAGAGTGGGCAACTTACTAATTCAGTGTGCTACTACTAGAGTGAGCTACTTACTAATTCAGTATGCTACTACTAGAGTGGGCTACTTACTAATTCAATGTGAAGCTACAAGAGTGGGCTACTTACTAATTCAGTGTGCTAATACTAGAGTGAGCTACTTACTAATTCAGTGTGCAGCTACTAGAGTCGGCTACTTACTAATTCAGTGTGCTGCTACAAGAGTGGGCTACTTACTAATTCAGAATGCAGCTACTAGAGTGAGCTACTTACTAATTCAGTGTGCTTATACTAGAGTGAGCTACTTACTAATTCAGTGTGCTGCTACAAGAGTGAGCTACTTACTAATTCAGTGTGCTGGTACAAGAGTGGGCTACTTACTAATTCAGTGTGCTGGTACAAGAGTGGGCTACTTACTAATTCAGTGTGCTGGTACAAGAGTGAGCTACTTACTAATTCAGTGTGCTGGTACAAGAGTGAGCTACTTACTAATTCAGTGTGCTGGTACAAGAGTGGGCTACTTACTAATTCAGTGTGCTGGTACAAGAGTGGGCTACTTACTAATTCAGAATGCAGCTACTAGAGTGAGCTACTTACTAATTCAGTGTGCTGCTACTAGAGTGAGCTACTTACTAATTCAGTGTGCTACTACAAGAGTGGGCTACTTACTAATTCAGTGTGCTGGTACAAGAGTGAGCTACTTACTAATTCAGTGTGCTGGTACAAGAGTGGGCTACTTACTAATTCAGTGTGCTGGTACAAGAGTGGGCTACTTACTAATTCAGAATGCAGCTACTAGAGTGAGCTACTTACTAATTCAGTGTGCAGCTACTAGAGTGAGCTACTTACTAATTCAGGGTGCTACTACTAGAGCGGGCTACTTACTAATTCAGTGTGCTACTACTAGAGTGTGCTACTTACTAATTCAGTGTGCTGCTACAAGAGTGGGCTACTTACTAATTCAGTGTGCTGGTACTAGAGTGGGCTACTTACTAATTCAGTGTGCTACTACTAGAGTGAGCTACTTACTAATTCAGTGTGCTGGTACTAGAGTGGGCTACTTACTAATTCAGTGTGCTACTACTAGAGTGGGCTACTTACTAATTCAGTGTGCTGCTACAAGAGTGGGCTACTTACTAATTCAGTGTGCTACTACTAGATTGAGCTACTTACTAATTCAGTGTGCTACTACTAGAGTGGGCTACTTACTAATTCAGTGTGCTGGTACAAGAGCGGGCTACTTACTAATTCAGTGTGCTACTACTAGAGTGAGCTACTTACTAATTCAGAATGCAGCTACTAGAGTGAGCTACTTACTAATTCAGTGTGCTGGTACTAGAGTGGGCTACTTACTAATTCAGTGTGCTACTACAAGAGTGGGCTACTTACTAATTCAGTGTGCTGGTACAAGAGTGAGCTACTTACTAATTCAGAATGCAGCTACTAGAGTGAGCTACTTACTAATTCAGTGTGCTGGTACAAGAGTGGGCTACTTACTAATTCAGTGTGCTACTACAAGAGTGGGCTACTTACTAATTCAGTGTGCTGGTACAAGAGTGAGCTACTTACTAATTCAGTGTGCTGGTACAAGAGTGGGCTACTTACTAATTCAGTGTGTGGCTAGAGTGAGCTACTTACTAATTCAGAATGCAGTAGAGTGAGCTACTTACTAATTCAGTGTGCTGGTACAAGAGTGGGCTACTTACTAATTCAGTGAGCTACTACAAGAGTGGGCTACTTACTAATTCAGTGTGCTGGTACAAGAGTGAGCTACTTACTAATTCAGTGTGCTGGTACAAGAGTGGGCTACTTACTAATTCAGTGTGCTGGTACTAGAGTGGGCTACTTACTAATTCAGAATGCAGCTACTAGAGTGAGCTACTTACTAATTCAGTGTGCTGGTACTAGAGTGGGCTACTTACTAATTCAGAATGCAGCTACTAGAGTGAGCTACTTACTAATTCAGTGTGCTACTACTAGAGTGGGCTACTTACTAATTCAGTGTGCAGCTACTAGAGTGAGCTACTTACTAATTCAGGGTGCTACTACTAGAGCGGGCTACTTACTAATTCAGTGTGCTACTACTAGAGTGTGCTACTTACTAATTCAGTGTGCTGCTACAAGAGTGGGCTACTTACTAATTCAGTGTGCTGGTACAAGAGTGGGCTACTTACTAATTCAGTGTGCTACTACTAGAGTGAGCTACTAACTAATTCAGTGTGCTACTACTAGAGTGGGCTACTTACTAATTCAGTGTGCTGGTACTAGAGTGGGCTACTTACTAATTCAGTGTGCTACTACTAGAGTGGGCAACTTACTAATTTAGTGCCATCACTAGAGTCGGCTACTTACTAATTCAGTGTGCTGGTACTAGAGTGAGCTACGTACTAATTCAGTGTGCAGCTATTAGAGTGGGCTACTTACTAATTCAGTGTGCAGCTATTAGAGTGGGCAACTTACTAATTCAGTGTGCTACTACTAGAGTGGGCTACTTACTAATTCAGTGTGCAGCTATTAGAGTGGGCTACTTACTAATTCAGTGTGCTGGTACAAGAGTGGGCTACTTACAAATTCAGTGTGCTACTACTAGAGTGAGCTACTTACTAATTCAGTGTGCTACTACTAGAGTGAGCTACTTACTAATTCAGTGTGCTACTACAAGAGTGGGCTACTTACTAATTCAGTGTGCAGCTATTAGAGTGGGCTAATTACTAATTCAGTGAGCTACTACAAGAGTGGGCTACTTACTAATTCAGTGTGCAGCTATTAGAGTGGGCTACTTACTAATTCAGTGTGCTACTACTAGAGTGGGCTACTTACTAATTCAGTGTGCTACTACTAGAGTGGGCTACTTACTAATTCAGTGTTCTGCTACGAGAGTGGGCTACTTACTAGTCATTCAGTGAAACATACAATTTCTAGAATGCCAATCAAAAAATTAGTCATTCAGTGTGCTGCTACTAGAGTGAGCTACTTATTAATTCAGTGCCGGTACTAGAGTGAGCTACTTACTAATTCAGTGTGCTACTACTAGAGAGAGCTACTTACTAATTCAGTGTGCTGGTACAAGAGTGGGCTACTTACTAATTCAGTGTGCAGCTATTAGAGTGGGCTACTTACTAATTCAGTGTGCAGCTATTAGAGTGGGCAACTTACTAATTCAGTGTGCTACTACTAGAGTGGGCTACTTACTAATTCAGTGTGCAGCTATTAGAGTGGGCTACTTACTAATTCAGTGTGCTGGTACAAGAGCGGGCTACTTACAAATTCAGTGTGCTACTACTAGAGTGAGCTACTTACTAATTCAGTGTGCTACTACTAGAGTGAGCTACTTACTAATTCAGTGTGCTACTACTAGAGTGGGCTACTTACTAATTCAGTGTGCAGCTATTAGAGTGGGCTACTTACTAATTCAGTGTGCTACTACAAGAGTGAGCTAATTACTAATTCAGTGAGCTACTACAAGAGTGGGCTACTTACTAATTCAGTGTGCAGCTATTAGAGTGGGCTACTTACTAATTCAGTGTGCTACTACTAGAGTGGGCTACTTACTAATTCAGTGTGCTACTACTAGAGTGGGCTACTTACTAATTCAGTGTTCTGCTACTAGAGTGGGCTACTTACTAGTCATTCAGTGAAACATACAACTTCTAGAATGCCAATCAAACAATTAGTCATTCAGTGTGCTGCTACTAGAGTGGGCTACTTACTACTCATTCAGTGTGCTGCTACTACTGCTTAAGAGTGCTAAAGTACTGTCGGAAATAGAAAAAACCCTGTTTTTTTCACATTTACTTTACTGAGGAGAAAGTAGTGCAGAAATGAGCAATGCGACTTATTTGGAACAGACCTTGGCTTTATGCAAATTAGTGTGCGATGATATTGCATTACAAAGGACACTTTTTAAATGTCCATTTTGAAATTAGACTTAGCTTCATTACAAACGATAGGTGACATAAAAAATAATAGCTTTAATACTGAAACTATTAGCCACCATGGAGTCTCACTATCACTATAAAAACAAACAGGTAGGAGGGGTCGTCTCAAAAGCAAAATCAGAACGGGTGTCGATATCGGCTAAAATAAGATAATCCTTTAGGGGAATTAATTGGGGA